CCAAACACATTTTGTCACCAGCAATCCATTTTTGAGCTTTCTTAATATTATTCTCCAATAAACTAATTTTATGACATATATAAAAAACTATCAATACAGTAAAAGTCTGTAATTTCTTGCCTGACACAGCTGTATGATCATTAAAACATTTCAAATAAAACACAAACATTATTTTTACAATTTTCTGCTATCAGCCTGCTAATGATAAAATTTAAAAAATTCCCTTTTCTCCTACTTCTCAAAGTGTGTGGAAAAATACATAGCAGTAAAGAATATACTGTTTAAAATGTGTAAATATATATCTTTTGAATACATAATATGTTAATTATAAAAAAAAAAAAAAAAAAGGGTTGGTATACTCTAGTATAATATATAGGAAGGTCACTAGTGGTAGTATGGAACTGCAGAGATATGATAAACATAAAATCTATAAGTCTGCTGAAGTATCTGTTGGCATTTCTCATACAGCAATCTACAACTCTGTTATAATTCCAAGGTGAAGAATTTTTATATTCCACAATACAGTTAAACATTCCTCTAACCATAGTTGGCAATTCAAGATTTCTGTGTCAGTGCAGAATGATTGCTTGCTAGATGATCACAAACCTATTAGAATGGATATAACTCAGAAAGGATGAAACCTTAGCATTCATCTATTGGACACATCTGCAAAAACACCAGTAGTCCCACCGAATCCGAGCTAAACAATCATTATGGTACTACTACCAGCCTGCATATTTTACTGACAGGTAGGATTCATGGCTACATGCAGTTTTTCTTCACAGCATATATATCAATTCATCTGCCTGAAACAGAAACATGACTAGTCAAACTACATTATTAATTTCCAGTCATTAAGAGTCCAGCAACATTGTCTCACAGCCCAAGCAAAGGCACAGCATTTGTTAGGCTGCTATTACATGTCGGTTTGTTTCGGAAGAACAACTGTTTGGAATAATTTTTCTGCTTTGTCACAACAGCCAATCAACACAGATCGCTTTGGAGTTAGTTAACGCAGGGGAAACTGGTTCCCCATTACAAACAAGCTGATAGCTGATTGGTCGAAAACGAACAACCTGCAATTTTTTTGGAAAGGAAGGAAAAAGTCGTGCGTCTTTCTTTCAATAGTAAACCAGGCAGAAAAATTGTCCGAAACAGTTGTTCGTGTGAAACAAATGCTGTGTGATATGGGCCTTAGAGATACTTAGGTTTGGCATCAGTTGCACAGGGCGAATCGCAGAAGGAATATTCATAGCCCTCAAGCTGATATTTATTGCACACACTGTTGCATTCCTATTGCACGAAACACTATTGAAGAAACACTGCTGCATGCTTATTGCATCAAACTGTTGCATGCTCATTGCATGAAACGCTATTGAGGTAACAGTGTTGCATGCTTATTGCATTAAACACTATTGAAATAATACTGTTGCATGCCCATTGCATGAATAGATTCTCTCATCTAGCACCTGTCATGTTTATCCAAATCCTTTTATAGCCACATTGCTCTCATAAGTTTGAGATTTTCTCGAATTCTCATACACATTTGAAATAACCATAAAAGAAAATCCAAACTTTGCCATTATCCTTGAAATGCTCCTGTGAGTTTCACTTTATGAGTTTTAGTTATACTCATGAATTTCACTATGAATGCACAAAAATCATAAATTATTTGCATCTATGTGAAATAGCTTTTATTTTAAATAACAATGCGAGAGATAGAGCTTGCATATAACGGTACCGCTGAGACTTTCGGTGCACAGAACAACTCAACCTGACTCTTTCGCTTTTGGAACTATGCCAAAGAACATTTAATTCAGTTGAACAGTCAGACTCAGACGAACGCATACGCAAGGCAGCTGGAATGCTGTCTATTCTTCACTATTTTTGTTCTGTTCTCTTATAAGTTTTATATGTCATTTTCTTGTTTATACTTGTATTGTGCAATTATTTAATATAAGTTTTGTGTTTAAAACGAGGACGTGTATCGAGTTCCTTCACATTACATCGCAACATAATATTTTGGAGGCACCGGCGAGATTAAAGGACTTTTGATTTCGGTTTCGTCAGCACTGCAACGCTGCATTCGGTACAGTAATGGATACTACTGGATACTTTTAGCTTCGAACTTCATTTAAAGACCAAGCAAGATAAGTATTTTTTTTTTTTTTTTTTTTTTTTTTTTTTTTTTACAAGTTTGACTTTGGTTTTCCTCATTGCACCATTACGTCGTAATGGAAGACAAGGTTAAGATTGCAAAAAATAGTAGAGGTAGAGCGAAAGCTGCTCTTACCAGAATTTCAAATTTCATTAATGATGATAAGCAGTTATTCGAAAAACTACGATTTAATGAATAAACTTCAAAACATTGAAAGCGTTTATTCTGATTTTGACAAGGCAGACGCAGAACTTCCGCCGGAAAGTTCTGAAATGGAAGAATTTGAGAAAAAATATTATGAAACCAAAGCCAAACTACAACAAGAACTTGAGAAATTAAATGTTACTGTTAATATGCAAGTTACTAATGTTAATGAACGTCAAATGCCAGGTTATAGTACTACAAATACTGCTAATAATTTTAAATTACCGAGAATAAATATGCAAGTCTTTTAACGGTAATTACAGAAACTGGATGTCTTTCAAGGACTTATATGTATCATTAGTGCATAACAATGAAAATTTAAGCAACATTCAAAAATTTCAATATCTAAAGGGTTTATTAACTGATGAACCGGCTTCTATTATTAAACATATTCCCATTTCAGAAAATAGTTATATGGAAGCCTGGGGAAAATTATTATCTAGGTATGATAAGAAAAAACAAATTGTCACATCACTAATAAAAACTTTCATGGAACAATCTTGTGTAATTAATGCAAACTCAATTAATTTGCGAAAAATTGCCGATACATCTGATGAAATTATCAGAGGTTTAAAATCTATTGATCCAAAAGCTAAGTGAAAGGGATGTCTGGCTAATTTATATTTTATTACAGAAGGTTGACAACGAAACATGTAAACAATGGTCTGAGTTTTCAGCAAAAGTGGAATTTCCTACTTTTGAAATGTTTATTCAATTTATAAATGATAGATGTTCCTCTTTAGAAATTTTCCACGAAAAAGAAAGGGAAAAAACTCAACCTAGTGTTAAAAGATTTTCTGTGAACAAAAGTATCAAATGTATTATGTGTAAATCAGATCATTTTCTTTTCAAATGCCCCAAATTTAAAGCACTAACTGTCAAAGAAAGAAATCAATTTGTTCAGGAAAAATAATCTTTGTTTAAATTGTTTTTCTAGTCAGCACAAAAAATCTGAATGTATGTCTCAACATCGTTGTCATTATTGCCAGTTATTGCATCATAGTACTCTGTGTGAAAATCAGTTAAAAAGTTATTCCACATCTGCGTCTCTTTCTGAGAGCAGTTTTCAGTCAGAACAGCAAAGAAAGAATCCAACCGCGAATGAAATACCAGACATTGCGTCTACGAATGAAAACAAAAACGGAACTGTAATTCAAAATAATAGCGTTCAAACAACTTTTGGCTTATTGCCAACTGCGTATGTAAATGTAATTGATTCGATGGGTCAAAAACGTAATATTAGAATGCTTTGTGATAGTGGTTCCGAATCAACATTATTATCTGAATCTTGTATTAATTTATTGGGATTTAAAAGGAAAAAATGCGCGTTTTCCTGTCAAGGGTTTAGCTGAGTCAGAAGTCGCAGTTACAAAAGGTTGCGTTGAAATCGAGTTGATGTCAATCCATGATACATCAGTGAGAATGCCAATTAAGGCATTTGTATTAGATAAACTAACTGCTGCGCTTCCAAGCCAAAAAATAAATGAGAAAGACTTTTCGCATTTGAAAAATGTAAAGTTAGCTGATCCATATTTTCACATTCCGGATAAGATAGATATTATTCTAGGATCTGACTACTTGTTTTCTATTTTACTTCCTGGACAAATAACTTGTTCTCAAAGTGATTTAATTGCTCAAAACTCAATTTTTGGTTTCCTCATATCCGGAAAACTACCGGAATCTCAAACGAAATCAAATTCACTTTCAAACATGCATATTTATGAAATAAATATTGACAGCGAATTGAAAAGGTTTTGGGAGTTAGAAGAAGTACCAAATTCAACTGACACTGTATTCTCACCTGAAGAACAATTTGTTGAAACACATTTTCGGGAAAATTACTCAATTAATTCAGATGGTCGTTTTGTGGTGAAGTTGCCATTTTTAAAATCTAAATCTGAATTAGGTAATTCAAAACCAGCTGCACTTTCTCGATTATATGCTATGGAACGTAAATTTAAGGAAAACTCGGAATTTGAAAACCAATACAAGGATTTTATGCATGAATATGAAAATTTAGGTCATATGGAATTGGTCACACAAAACTGTTTAAATAGATTTCAGAATGAGCAATATTTCCTTCCCCATCATGCAGTGATCAAGCCGTCTAGTACAACTACCAAATTAAGAGTCGTTTTCGACGCTTCATGTAAAACTTCCAACGGTAAATCATTGAATTCAATCTTGGGTGTTGGTCCTAAATTGCAACGAGACATTTTCGAAATTTTACTTAATTTTCGATTTCCGGAAATAGTCTTTTCAACAGACATAGAGAAAATGTACCGTCAAGTTTTAGTGTCCGATGAGGATCGGAATTACCAACAAATTCTTTGGAGGTTTAATCCTAACGAAGAAATACGCACATACAAGTTAAACACCGTAACATATGGTTTAGCTCCAGCTTCTTTCCTAGCCACTAGGTTCATTAAGCAAATTGCACTAGATTATTCACAAAATAGTGCTGTTGTCTCCATAGACTCCAACCTTCAGCAAACCTGTCAGTAGTGAACGCGCGAACGACATTTTTACAACTTTGAAAATGTGCGCATAGCGTATGTTGAATAACCATTCATTAATTTTAAATTAATAATTAATTTGTAATCAATTTTATTACATTTAAAATCCATATACATATACATGATAAAACTGCATAATTAAAAATATACCTTGTAAAATTATATGCACATTTAATTAGAAATTTTCTTTTAACTCCTCAAGCATTCACTAATAAAAAGTACTTCAAATCACTACTAATCATGGAAAAATCAGAAGCTATAAATCATATCTTATTCTGGATATGATTTTCTACAGGGGAAATAAAATTTAAATAACCAAGAATGATACATATAAGTATTAAACAAAATACGCATAATTTATGAATGCAAAGATTTATATGTAGCATGCTTAGCAAGCTTAAGTTCTGATTTTGAGAATGTTTTTTTATAACACAGTTCTTCATTTGCCTGCATATTTATTTTTTCAATCAAAACTGCTTCAAGAGTTTTAAAGACCTAAATTTGGTCGAAATTCCGTCTGATTTTTTTTTTTACAACAGAAAAAATTCTTTCGCAAGCTGCATTTGAATGAGGTATTATTAAGACAGCAAGCATTACAGAAGGCAATACTTTGTATTTAATACACCCATTCATAAATATTCATACCCATTCATAAATCATATTCATACCCATATTCATAATCATATTCATACCCATTCATAAATGTGTTCACAAATGCATTAAATGCTTCAAATTTAAAGCATCCACCGCATCTCGGCTTATGGGTAATCTACCTAAGCATCGTGTAACACTCGAGAGGCCTTTCTTCAACTGCGGAGTGGACTATGCCGGTCCTATTTCAATCAAATTCAACAAGGGTCGTGGAGCAAAATCAACCAAGGGTTACATTGCTCTATTTATTTGTCTCGCTACTAAGGCACTACACATCGAGGCAGTCAGCGATTTAACCGCTGATGCATTTTTAGCTGCTTTGCGTCGCTTCAGTGCTAGACGAGGAGCTCCAAGTCACATTTACAGCGACAATGCAACAAACTTCGTTGGGGCTAATCGAAAAGCTCAGCGAAAATACAACGATTGTGGGCCTCACTTCCTAAGAACGAAGCCGTTGGTCATCATTTAACTCAAGCATCAATAGAATGGCACTTTATACCTCCAGCATCTCCTCATTTCGGAGGAATTAAATCAACCAAATATCACTGTAAAAGAGTAATAGGTGAAACGCTACTTACTTTCGAAGAATTGACAACTCTATTGGCTCAGATAGAAGCCATTTTAAATTCTCGTCCGTTATGTAGTGTAAACAATACTGACATTGATTGCATTAATATTCCCACTCCTTCACATTTTCTTACAGGAGACGTGATCCTATCCCCTCCTGAACTACCTCTTACTAGTCCTGCTAATATACGGAATAGGTGGGATCTCCTTCAAAAGATGTGCAAGGACTTCTGCAAATCATGGACCAAAGCATATCTATCTTCTCTTCAAAACAGAAAGAAATGGAAGGTCACTCAGCCGAATATGAAAACTGGAGACATCGTCCTGTTACTAGATGATGGTCATATTCCAGGTTCTTGGCCTCTAGGACAAGTGGTCGAACTTCATCATGGTATTGACGGACTAGTTCGTGTGGCCACAGTTAAAACTAAAAACTCTGTTTTCAAAAGAAACATTCATAAATTAGCACCTTTGCCCATATATCAGGACTAATGCCTGATAGGGTGGGAGTATGTTCCGGTGCACCGGAACAGAACAACTCAACCTGACTCTTTCGCTTTTGGAACTATGCCAAAGAACATTCTTAATTCAGTTGAACTGTCAGACGCAGACGAACGCATACGCAAGGCAGCTGGAATGCTGTCTATTCTTCACTATTTTTGTTCTGTCTCGTATTTTAAGTTTTATATGTCATTTTCTTGTTTATACTTGTATTGTGCAATTGTTTAATAATAGTTTTGTGTTTAAAACGAAGATGTGTATCATTAACTTTACTTTAGTTCATTAACTTTACATCGCAACAGTACATAAGTAGTACTACTACATCTTCTTTTCATCATCTTCATCACAATACTTGTTTATACCAGCTTTTTTATAACACTTCAGTATATCCCTGTACATATATTTATTTATGTAAAAGATAATGAACAATAAACAAAATTAGAAATAGTCAATTGAATTCTGTATTTCATTTCATTGTTACCAGTTAAATCATCTCTTTTTCAAATGCCATATGCATACTTCGTTTGAAATAAATTTTACCTAGTGATATGACATTTTGATTTGACCAAAACTCATACAGGCATTTTTACCTATTTCAATACAAATGCTTTTATACATAATGAGAATAAATACACACATTTACAATAATGTGACATTAAATTATCCATATGTAAATTGTTCAATAATTATAGAGTAAATAATCATAGTGGGGAAAATATGACACTCTGAATCAAAGCTCAATTTAAAAAAATAAAAATATACAATAATGAACCATATATACAGTATTAGGTACTTTCTTATCTACCCAACTTTCCTCAAAATTCACCAATCAATAGCAACTAATTTTTTTTTTTGCCACCATTTAAAAAAAAAAAAAAAAAAACAGCCATTTTAAAAAATGGCAGCGAATACAGAATTCTATTAAAAAAAAAAAAAAAAACAATAAACAAAATTAAAAACATAAGAAACATCTATAACTTTTCTTTCCTGCTCTTCGCCTCATGTACACAGTGATCCATTTTAGCTTTAAAAACAAAAAATAGAGAACAGCACATACTGTTGTTCTCCAATGTACACAACAAAATGCTTTCACTCAGAAAAGCATCAGAGAATTTCACAAATTCGATCATCTACAAAATATAACTTTGTGAAATGCAAATTTTTTCATTCTCTACTAGTATGCAAAATGCTATGTTTATGAAGAAATGCAATGTTTTCTTTTTATCAGCCAGCAAATGCCAGTCTCACTTGATTCCTTCCAAAATAAATAAGTAAATTAATTAAATTAAAAAAATTCATAAAATGCTAATTGAACAAACATTAAGGGGGAAAATGGAGACATTGCCAGGTGAATTGTCTTCAGTTATCAGAGTACCTAATAGCATTCCACTTCAAATATTGAAATATGTAACTCAGAATACAAATAAAAACATTGCAAGGAACTTACCTCACTGAACCAAAACACAGGATAATATATAGTTTCTTTAGGAAACTGAAGTTGCCTGTAAAACCCAAAAATATATATATGAAAAACTGAGAAAGGAAAAAAAAAGTATTTATATTAAACAAGCTAAATTAAAACACTTCTAAAATACATTTAATTGGGTATGTTTATATATTGTTAAGCCTATTTTTAATTGCACTTTTGCCAAATAAATTAGGAAATTTTGCTTATTGATAACATTTAACAATAAAATTACATAACAACCTACCTCTATATAACTGTATGTCCTTTACAATTAAATCCAAATGCAGCATGCATTTAACATATTTATATCAATTATAGAAAGAATGAAAAATCTCTACTATAATAGAATTTGACCCCCCCCCCAAAAAAAAATATCTATTTCAAATATAAACAAGTTTCAGTGTGTATGCACAAATAATCATCATTAGATACTCACTCAACTTCATCATTTTGGAATGGCTACATTTATCTGAAGTTGAGCATTCACATTCACAGGAATACCTAATTTCTAAAAGAAATTCACTGGACATTAGATAAAACATACAGATCATATTTTATTACAACACAATTTATTACATATTTTCCTTTCAAACAAATCCAGATAACTGCTTTGAACTGAACATTTCAGTTAACTTTGATAAAAGGTAAAGTTATTTAATAAATTGATTGGTTAATTATGGAAAAATAACTTTAGAATCCTAACAACTTAACATAAATTACAAAAAGTTATGCGTTGGACCTTTTTGGATAACAAAATTTTGGTTTATAAATTTTTATCCATAATAAATAGATTTAGAAACATTTTGTAATCTATACTAGCTAGAAAAATTTTGTACATGTCAATACAACAATATAGTTTCACAATATAGTTTCTACACTACTGTCATCAAATACCTGACTTACGAGACTCACAGTAGCGAACTTAGTCTCTCCAACCCTTTTTTTAATCGAATTTGCGATTTCCTGAATTAACGTATTACCAGAAAATTCAGATTCCTTTATCAAAATTCTTATTGTAAAAACAATTTTTCCCCCTTAAAAGAGAAAGACCTATTTTAATCTGTGAAAAAAAAAAAAAAGAGGCCAGGCATTAAAATTCATGCAAAGTGACTATAGAAAATATTGGTTGGCTTTATATTTGTGTTGTATTTGAGCTTTTAAACTGAAAAATTTTTAGCAACATTTGCTATACAGTTACAAAAAGCTTTTATAAGCAAACTTTGTTTTTCTGCACATATAATCCACACCTTTATCTGCTAAGTGTTTGCACATAAATGTTTCAAAAATAGGAAAGTTCACCGCAGTTTGCATTGGTATTCATTTTAGGTAAAGTTGTTTATTTCCAAATTTATTACTTTGCCCCAAGAGGTAAATATGGCATATATACCTCTTGGAAAACAAAATCCTTGTAATTATTTTGATAGATAACAAATTTTATTAAACCAATTTTATAATGTTTTCCATAATACTGATTCCAATGCTAAGATGAATTTAATTCACATTCAGGATTAGAAATCTTAGCAACACAATGACAGCAAATAAATAACAATAATGGCATGACTTGTAATTAGAAAACAAACAAAAAAAAATTTTTAAGGTTCTTGTGGTTTGATTATTCTTCCGACAATAGTTTAGGCTTTAAGGTTTTTCGAATGTATTGAGTGCCCTTTGAGATGACAACAAGCCCGTTTATTTTATCCACCACTATTAAAGATCATATTAAGGGTTATAAAAGGAAATATAATAAAGCTGTTGACATGTTAAATAAGTCCTTATATGTTGATGACCTTATCCATGGAGCAGACTCCGTTGACAAAGTTTTTTCATTATCAACTGACGCAGTTAAAATTCTTCAAGATGCTGGTATGAACTTAAGAAAATTTGAATCAAATTCCATATCTTTAAAAAATCATTGGCAAGATATTGGTTTAATTAATAAGGAAGATAGTTTGGTTAAGAAAATGTTAAAGATGCTGGGAACAATTTGGGATTTGGATAAGGACGCATTGAAATTAGATGTACTTAGATGTACTTTTACAACCAGTTGATTGTAAACACGTTACAGAGCAAAAGGTATTATAGATTGTGGCGAAAATTTATGACCCAGTTGGCTTCACTGAACCTTTTGTTATCAGAATAAAATTCTTATTGCAAGAGTTATTGGAATTGGGTATTGATAGAGACACAATTTTGCCCAGCAATTTAACAATTTAAGTGGAAAATTTAAAACTTGGTATTTTGAAATTGAAGTTATTCTCAACTTGTCTATTCCTAGAAAATATATATTAAATGATAAATGTGTAAATTTTGATAAAATAGAGCTTTTTGTCTTTTCTTACGCCAACCTCAAGGGATATGGAGCTGTTGCATATTTTTGTGATCCTGATTGTCTTGCTGTACGTCTTTTGTGCTTTCAAAGAGCCGTGTATCCTCACTTAAAAAATTACCCTTGCCTTGTTTAGGAGCTTATGGGAGCCATTATTGCCGCAAGAATAGTTAAATAATTAAGGAAATTGTTTAATATCCAAGAAGATAATGTATTTTGCTTTAGTGACTCTAAAATCGCTCTTCACTGGATCAGGGGTATGATATCGCTAATAAATGGAAACCCTTTCTTGCTAATTCGTGTACGTGAAATACAAGATCTTGTATCACCTTCGCAATGGAAATATTGTAAGGTGAAATGAAAATCCGGCTGACACAGTTTCACGTGGATTAAGAGCTTCTGATCTAGTGGGAAATAAACTTTGGTTCAATGGACCAGTGTGGTTAAAGAGAAAAATCTACCTTCATCATCTTTTGATCTTTTGATTGAGCCTATGGTAGAAGAGGTACAGGTAAGTAGTAGAACAGCGTCAAACTACTGTATGTTCTGTTATTAGCCAAGAGGCTTGAATTTTGATTGACATCCAGGATTTTCATCCTGGAAAAAACTGAAACGCGTAACTGCATGGTGTTTAAGATTCTGCAACAATATTAAACCTACATCAAACTCAAGATTTAAAACTCAAGATTTTTTTTTTAACAATTCAAGAACTGGATAAGGCAAGCAATTTGATTTTCAAAATCATACAAAATTACAAATTTAGAGAAGAAAATAGACTTCAGGTTATATACGAGGCGTATTCGGAAACTAAGTACCATTTTGAAAAAAAAAATAGTAAAACAATTTTTTTGAATCCAATTTTATTTTTACAGAAAAAATACATGTCTTAAACTATTTTTCAACATAGTTTCCGCCAATGATCAAACACTTGTCATAGCGGGTGACCAGTTTTTGTATACCATCGTCAAAGAAACTTCCCGCCAGTTTCAATAACCACGACTCCACAGCGTTTTTCGTGTCATCGTCAGATCCAAAGCGCTTGCCACCAAGCTCGCGCTTCATGTGCAGGAACGAGTGATAGTCGGACGGCTCCAAGTCCGGGCTGTACGGCGGGTGATCGAACTGCTCCCAATGAAACTGTCGAATTAAAGATTGAGTGACACCACCAGTATGGGGCCGAGCATTGTCATGGAGCAACACAATTCCTTTACTGAGCATTCCTCTTCATTTGTTTTGAATGGCACGCCTTAGTTTTGTTAAAGTCTCACAATATCGTGCCGCATTAATAGTTTCACCTCTGGAAAGAAATTCAGTAAGCAAAACGCCTTTCCTATCCCAGAAGACAGTGCACATGAATTTTTTTTTTTTTTTTTTTTTTTATGACATTGTCACTCTGAACTTTTGTTTTTCGGAGAATGAGTGTGTCTCCACTCCATCGATTGCTGTTTCGATTCTGGTGTGAAATGACACACACAAGTTTCATCACCTGTCACAATTTGGTTTAAAAAGTTTTCTCCCTCAGTTTCATCAACTTTCCTTACCAAATCATCGGTGACAACAGAAGGCTGACCACTCCGAGGTTCGGCGTGGACATTTGTTCGACCTGCATTAAACATTCTTACCCACTTTCTCACCATTCCATCACTTATCGCGTAATCACCGTAAACTTCTGTCACTTGACGATAAATTTCGGCCGGTTTAACATTCCTCGCGTTCAAAAATTTAATCACGGCACGAATCTCACAGTGAGCGGGAGAACTAATTGTCTTAAACATTTTGAATGTGCACAGCAAACTGAAAACAACATAGAGCAACCAAAATGGCGACAATTGAAAGTCAGTGAACAAGAAAGACTAGTGCGCATGCGGGGGACGCCTACCACAGCGCTAGAATGAAACGGTACTTAGTTTCCGAATACGCTACGTAGGAAAGCAGGGAAGAAATTGAATCTCAGCAGTAAAATCCTGAAATTAAATCCTTTCTTTGATAGAGAAGAAATCCTTACAGTTGGTGATAGACTCTGTAATTCGAATCTTTCAGAAAACACAAAGTATCCAATCTTTCTTCCCAAAAGTCACCACGTTATTAAATTGACAGTCAAACACTTTCACGGAGTAAACCTTCACAGACAGAGGAGCCACATTATCTGCTCTGCGATAGAAATATTGGATCATTAACGGCCAAGAAATTGTAAGAAAAATAATTTGGAAATGTATACAATGTTTTAAAAATTGAACAAGCACATCCAGTCAGATAATGGGCGACCTACCAGCTTCTCACGTACTGCCAGATAGAACATTCTCGAATACAGGACTGGATTTTGCAGGACCTTTCTTAAAGCTAGGAAAGAAAGAGGGAGAACGAGATATAAATGTTATGTTTGCCTTTACATATGCTTTACCACAAAAGCATTCACTTAGAAGTAGTTGGTGATTTAACAACTGAAGCATTCCTAGCATCTCTGAAAAGATTTGTGTCACGCAGAGGAAAACCCAAGAAAATCTTTTCAGATAGAGGAACCAACTTTGTTATGGCTGATCGAGAATTATGAAGATAAGCTACACTTTCTTCTGAGGAAGCATTTCAAAACTACCTTAGTGGTGAAAATATTCAATGGAACTTCAACCCTCCTGCTGCACCTCACTTTGGATGCCTCTGGGAGGCTGGTGTGAAGCAAATGAAGATTCACTTAAAGCGGACTATTGGGACATACGTTCTAACATACGAAGAATTTCACACCTTAATTACACAAATCAAAGTGTGTTTGAATTCCAGGCCAGTAGTTTCCATCTCATCTGACCCTGAAGGTTTTAATCCTTTAACACCTGGACATTTCCTAATTGGGACTACATTAACAGCAATTTCTGAACCTGATCTTACAAATAATAAGCTAACCCCTGCTGAAAGATGGAAATTGATACAGCAAATTTTGCAGAGCTTTTGGAAACGTTGGTCTAGAGATAATCTTTCACAATTACAAGGGCGTACCAAATAGTTGAGGGATAAACTAAATTTAGCCCTCAATGACTTAGTTTTAATAAAGGACGAAAAATTGCCTCCATTAAAGTGGCGACTTGGACAAGTAATTGAACTCTATCCTGGTGCTGATGGAAAAGTTCGTGTTGTGAAACTAAAAACTTTATTGGGCGAAATGAAGCATCCTATACATAAACTTTCCCGCTTAACCATTGAGTGAATAAGACTCTGTAATAATTTAAAAAAACATTAATTGTATATAATAAAATCTAATAAAAATATCTAATAAATACCTAATAAAATATCTAATAAAAATTTTAAAAAACATTAATTGTATATTTATAATTTATGTCTTTACTATTATTAATTCAATTATGTTTCAGATTCAGAGAATGGATTAACAATTGTGGATTATGGTAATTTAGCAGTTTCATTATTTTGTTTTCACTCTAGAGATTGTAAGTATGTTTTATTTGTAAATTTTTGTGCTGAATTTAATGTTATTCAATTTAAATTTGTCATTATGCATTGTTATTTTATATGATATACTGTTGAACGTTTGAGAAACTTGTTTAAATCTAAAATTGAAGATTTTTATAATAACATTGTAATGAACCAATGTTCATCGGGGCGGAGTATGTTCTGTCTTTCGGTAGATAGGTGGCGCTCTTGCTGTGCACCGATGAAAATTTTCAATTGATGCTTGAACAGACAGAATGACACATGTCTTATATTTTTTTTTATGCTTGATTATGTTTACACAGCCACTATAGGCGGAAGTAATATATTAAATCTTTAAGTTTTATCATTAATAAATGTTATTTCAGTGTTCTGCGAAATCTTGAAGTTTTGATTGTCAATCTAATGCTCTCCTAAACTGATCCTGAACAACTTGAAATTATGACTCACTATATACCAGGCACATTCCAGGTAGGACTATACAAGTGTGGGCAGAGGTACATTATAAAAAAGGCTTTAGATCTGACTGTGCATATTGTCTTTAAGGAGAAATATTTGCTTCCCAAGCAGGAACATGTCAAATTCGACTGAACGCAAAAATGAAGCTTCGCCAGTTTGTGGGAACTGGAGCTGAGGCACGAACTAAAAATCTTAAATGTTGCTGTCTGAGACTTTCATTTCCTAACTGCTCAATATTTTTCTGATATTTTCTTTTAAATGATGGAGTTATTCCTATAACAAGAGATTGTAGTTCACTTGAATCTTTTGATGGGAGGGGGAACTCTCATGTTTAAAGAATCATAGTTCATCTGTTTTTCTTCTGCTAGTTCTTCATGTTTTAAAAAATTTGCCTCAAAAATAGAAAATCCCAAAACATAAAAACCCAAAGACTTTAAAATCAGGATTTAATATTTTCTTGTAAATTTGGTATTTTTCAAATATATTAAGATTAAAATAACCATCTAAATAGCTTTACAGGGTATAATTCTACAACAGATATGAATATAACAAGCAGAAAATGTTTTTAAAAAACATTAAAAAAGTCTGTGCTCAAATATTCCATCAAATTAAGATGTGAAAATAAGAAGTTAGTTCAAACATTTCCTCTCCCCCTCCCCAATATACTAACATTAACCCTCTGAGCGGCCAGGGGTTTTGCTAAAAAAGCACAAATTTCCCAAAACTATTATAAGAACATATTATGTTTTTGATTTTAGTATAAAAACTCTGCTGGTATTTCACACCTGGATTTGTGTACTTTTGATATATTGCCTTAATTTCATTGACATATTTTAATATACACGTATATATACGCTCGTATTGATATCACAAAAAATATTCTAGGCCATATATATATATACGGCCTTGCCGCTTAGAGGGTTAAAATACTCATTTGAATAGCTGTTAGCATTTAAAACTAGCATGGATGTAATAAATAGCAAACTTGTTTTAATAATCCAGAAAACCATATTTGTAGTCAAATACATTTTTAGTTGATGACAATCTCTTGATACTTGGTCAACATAAATGATAGTGCTATGATTTGAATTCTCTTAAAGTGATTTAAATATCAACAATATAATGTATTACTAATCTGAGTTTTCTGATTCAAACTAGTAATAACGCAAGTATGAAACATTTCAGCCCATCAGTATGACAGGCTGAAATATTTACTGATAAGAATGATCAGCAAGGGAATACACAGGAAATGTGAATGTTTTTCTCAATATTATGAAGGTTAAAAAAAATTTACTTACAGGTTCTAGATCAATTATAAATGCATGCAGGTTCGGATTTGGCTTTAGACCATCTACTTTTTCTTGATAAGAGTGATCAGAATAAAGGAAGTGTGGAAAAGATACAACAGCTGGTGAACCTAAATATGAGATAATAATATCATACCCAACTTTAAAATTTTATTACAATATGATAGAAACATGTTAAAATGTGAGAAATTTTCTTTCCTTCAAAATTTTTCATATACCCAGTGGAAAAAAATACATACACCACACAAGTAATAAATAAGTCGAAGTATTTTTGGAAATTGCAGATATAATTTAAAAACTTATTAATGTATACCTGCTGCCATTATTAGTAATTTAATATAACGATTATTATATCTTCCTCTGTCAAAACAATAATATTTTGTCAAAACAATTTTTTCCCAAAATTTAAATTTCTGTTACTTTATACCCACATGCACGAACACACACAATTATGATAAAACAAAGTATCATGAATGATTCTAATAAATACAAGATTCTCATTTATTGGTTCAATACGTGTTAGATTCTCTTCAAAGTAATAAACTGCAGCTTGAATGCACTGTGCTCTAAAAAAAAAAAATTTAATTCAATCCAGAAGTCCATTTCAACTTTGAACTGATCATTATCCAAATCAATTTTCCTTATTAAAAATAACAGAAAGTGAATTTCCACATTCTAAACAAAACCCATTCGAAAAGGTAGGAACTACAATTAATTTAACATAAAAATACCACAATTAAATGCCATAAATGATAAGTTTGAATATGCAGGTTTTAAATTAATATAAATATTGAATAATAAACAGAAAGCTGTGTTGATTTTACCTTAGTAAGAACTGATGACATTTCATGAGAATTGCTTCATAACAATATACCCACATCTTATGCATGTTGCCCACTATTCAAGAAGACAAAACCTTCATATGGTTGCCTTGGCATAAAGATGTCTGTAACCTTACAAAGATCGGTTTCAAACTTGGAAAAAGCTTATTTATTATTATTTTTTTATTATTTTTTTTATTATTTTATAGTTTTTATTAAACTGTATGCAAGTTTGAATATTTTTCATTTTGTTTCACAATTTTATATATATAAAACTTGTTAATTTATAATTGATAATTATTCATATTCATTTATTATGAATATATTAGTAAATATTAGTAAATTCTGACATATTTTCTTCTGGATTCCTTCTTTCTAGTCTCTTTTCTGCACAGCAACTAAAGCTTCATTCAAACATCTGACTAGAGGTGAAAACTGGTTCCTCCAATGTGTCCCATTCACATGATGAAGTGGCATTAAATGCTTATTGAATTAGAGAGAGAATTTCCTTCCCTCTCAATAGTAAGGCAAATGAGGAATATTTCCCATACTGTACTGCCCAGTTTACTTAATCCTAGTAAATAACATGGCTAACATGCAACTGGCCACTTGCTGGAGTGTCAGCAAATCTATCATATTAATAAATGCCTAGGGATTCAATTAAACAAAGAATTAGATATTACTGTTGTGATAAGGAAATATAAAATGCGATATGTACAAGTTTAACTGTAACTGAACATATGAAAAATACTCATCAAATCAAAATGAAAATCAAAGCACATGAAATTATATGAATATCCCCTGCAGTATAACAAATATAATGTTACTTAAGTATGCAAATTTTAATGATTAATGTTGCATTTAAAAAGGAAAAACACAAAATTTCCTTCAGCAAAATGCCATATTTGGTAAAGCAGCAATCTGTCCTCTAAATAGCACATATTTAATCATGGATTCAAAAATAATTCTAGTGGGGGAAAAAATTTAAACATAAACTTTTATTCAAAGCTCATAAAATAATTAATGAACTAAAAGGAAAAAATAATTGCTAATAATGAACTAAATGATAATAAATAATAATGAACTAAAAGGAAAAAATAGTACATTTCCCATTTTGCCAGTGAAACGATGGTACAACTGATGCCAAACGGAATATCTTCGCTGGTAACCTTTTATGTTTCATTTTCAAAACAAGTTGCAGCTGTTTCTTATCAGATTGATTGTTTCTTTCAATATTGGCATACAATTACATAGAATTTTTACAAGATAATTAAATTTTATGCCCTAAGACCATTCACGGTAATTAAGTCAATTAGGATGCAATCACACCGCTTACTCGAAGGCGAAAATACAGAAAAGGCAAAGGGTTAAATTCATCAATTCTAATGAGAATGCACTAGCGAAGTAAAGCACTGTGGTTTTGCATAATTTCTGAGTAAGCTATTCGTATGAATTGAAATAATTCTTGCATTTAAACTTGTATTCCAAATTAAGATTTAACTTGAAATTAATGTAGATAATTACTGAGAATTAGATTTTTGTAGTGTAGTTTATGTGAGGTGAGATAACTTGGGGTCACGTGATACGAACCGGCGAATCAGACTGTTGAACCATGAAAGCATAGTAAATTCTTAAATTAATGTATTTTTACAAAATTTTAAACCATATTAAAATGTTTATGCCTTCAAAATAAAAATTCTTAGAACTAATATTTGTTAACATTTTTTGTGTGTATACTGCATGCTGTCGCCAACAAAGTCTGCTTGGCGAGATTTGCGTCGGCGAAATGGAAAAGTACCGAAAAAATAATCACATAGTTCAATGGGGACACAAGATTAAATTATTCTCTTCACAAAATATATTTGTATTTTTATAGAGAAATTTGATTACTAGATTTTGTTATTTAGGTGCATATGCTTGATTTTATTATTTAATATCTTGTTCCCATTAATATATTCAATTTTTTCCCTTTTTAGTTCATTAATTATTTTATGAGCTTTCAAAAAAAATTTAAAAATTTTCTTTATTTTCTTATTTTTAGTTTTAGTTCCTTTAAACTAAAAGTCTCATGATGCATTGTCAATCAGATTATTAAAATGAAAAATCATTTTTCAAAAATGTATAATTCATTCCCCCCCCCCCTCCATTTTCAATTATACTGTCAGTATTGTTTTCACAAAATCTTATGTGCCATTTAATTCATCCTGTCTATCCTCTCCTAAAAATCCTGTGTGTTTTATCATGACACATTATAATAGGATGTATGTCAATGATAAACATCTATAGAAATAAAGATAATTGCTTATATAACTTCAATATCGTAATTTGTGACAATCGTATATGTTGTTATACATACATCTGGGAAGTTATTTACATAAACAATGATTCATAACAAATTTCTAAAACTTCAAAATAAAATACAAACCATGTTGACAATCTTGAATATCTAAGGCTCCAGCTGGCAAGCAAAAGTCCCTGCACTGGCATGAATTATCTTTCTCATATTTGCCATTGTCAAATGCTGTTTCATCTAACCAGTATCTGTACGACTCAATTTCATTTTCTTCTACTTCTTTTAGATAACTCAAATGGAGTGTGCTAGAATTAAAATTCTGTTACAAATTTTGAACAATTAATTCAAAAATCAAGACATACATTTAAACATTAAGATCCTGCTGCAATTTGAAAAAACTCACAGCAAACTAAAACTATTAAACTAGACTGATATTAGAACCATTCAGATAGCTCCTTCATATAGCAATTCAGATAGCGAAAAGATTTAAAATTAATACAATAAACAAATACTCAAAAACAGTTTTCTCTGGTTTCATAATAATATTAATTTATTTAATTTTCAATGCATAAAATCTCTATATAAAATCTAACCTATAACTATCAGAATAATAACACATTTAAATCTTTACCTCATATGAAGTCTGTTGTTTAAATATATTATGGAAAAATCATAATATGGAGCATGTTGAATAAGTTATAAATCTGGAGAGTGACACAATACAATGAAATATTTGCATCATTCTTTCAAAGCATAAAACTAAAAGCAAGGATTATTGGTTAGTTGCCATTTGATTTTTGACAAGCTTGGAAGAATTAATAATGCTCAAAAACATCAAACATTATTCAATGATTGAAATCTTATCGAGAGAAAGCATAACACCTATAAATATTTATTATTGTATGGCTGCAATTATAAAGAATGTGATCAAGTTGATTATTTTCAAGAATTCCTCTGTAAGTTAAATGTCAATACAGATATTTTTATTCATGGTTAGTAACAGCAAATGAGATATGTATTCGTCATTGTGGCATAGAAACTAAACAAGCACAAAGCAATTCTTTATAATATCTAAGTTGGCTAAAAAGAATTTAGCTATTTCTTTTTCAGAATAGAAAGGGATGACAGTTCACTGCTTAAAACCCCATGATAAGAGGTGTTATTGTACTAACTTGCTGATCCAGCCACAGACAAATGCTACAGCAAAACCAGCAAAAAATTTATCTTTTACAAGATAATTAACCTATACGCAAGGCTTAGATTTCATGCACTATTATTCCAAAAAAAATTCTGGATTTTTCTCCCGTCCACTAGATCTGATTCCAAGTGACTTTTTCTCTTCCTCCCCTCCCCCCTCCACAAAAAAACAGAAATATTTAGTTTGTAAGAGAAATCATCACTGCTTAAGCTTCACATTAAATGGTGATGATGGCATGAAAAGTGTTGTTCAAGAATAGTTTTTCAGCTATGACAAAAACCACTTTTTCTCCTTGAATTTAATGTCAAATTGATCATGGGGCTACGTACATTGAAGAAAATGAAAACTACAAAATTAAGCAAGGCATTTTATATACTTATCTAGTACAAGTGGGTAATGCTTAAAACTTCCAATACATTTCTTATAAGTAGACTAAAATTATGCTTGATTTAAATTAAATAGCTTAAATCTTCAATAAACTTGATCATGTAACATGAGAAATAATGTTAATTTGGTAAAATTAAAGAAAATTAGTCTAGAGAATTTAAAATATGTAAGATTATATAATCACAGTAAGCAGGTCTTTCTGGGAAGAGTATTATTTTGTATCCTAACGAGTTTCACAGGTTCAAAATATTCTTTATCTACCTGTTTATATTTAAACTTTATTTTACAAAGTGACTAAAATGATTTTGTGGCAGTTAAACTTAAAAGACTAAAAACATTTAAATGTTTCAAATTCAGCATCTTGAGAGTGCCAAATGAAATGAAAAAAGCTTACGATTTTTTCATAAATATCATTCTTACATTTTTCACTGGTTCCTGATAATAATTTTCAATGGTTCCTAATAACAATATGGCACAACCATAAATATCTCTTGTACCTATTCAATCATATTTGCTTCACTAATATGGCTAATTATAATTTTTTTGTTTAGCAAATATTTTTAATATGTATTATGTTCTATACTACACAGAGAGAAAAAAATACACAAAAGCATTTAATGGTACTTACCTACATATATCAGCAACAAAAAGATGTAACTTCTGATGTTTATTATTCCTGAATGGAGGCCACATATCTCCAGCTGTAGTATACAAAATAAATGATAAACTAAAACAAAAATACTATTGGCTTCTCTTTACTTGAATAATATTAATTACAATGGGTTGTAATTTTTAATATTAATTACTAATCACCGAATTTCGAACTTGCAAAATTGTCTTCAATTTTACACATATATATGTGATTAAAGTATGACACACATTATCCATGCAAATCATTTAACAGGTACAGATCTTCCTACTGCATTAACTACAATTTATGATAGTATATTTAACAAAATAAGACAAAAAATAATAAGCTCCCCATTTCTTCCTTACTCTAAAGAATATCCACTAATATACCATTTAAATTTATCGCCCTTTTCTAATTAGTAAAACAGAATAGCGCATTATCTAACTCAGCTTCTTTTTGAAAATCCTATGCATGCAAGGTAATAGTCCAGTTTGATTAAATTTTCCTGCATTTAATTTTATCAAGTGATGATGCCAAATTAATCTAATTAAGAATGGCAATTTACAGTATGTAAAGTATTGCATAATAGTTTAGAGAAAGCAATCTGAAACATAGACACAATGAAAATAAAACATATGCAATAATAGTTTCATTATTTAATTAAAAATCAGTAAGTGCGTATAAAATTTTATCATATGTAAGATAAAAATCACCTAAAAATACAGAGAGAGCATGGCCAACATATCAATTTCTAAATTTTATAAATTTCATATTAATAAAAATTACATATAAAAAATTAAACAATTAAGCATTAGGGATTAATACTTCACTGCATTAATTCTTAATGATTAAATATAGAATTTTTTATTTATATTTTTAAAAATGACTTAATTAAAATCAAGCTTATAGAAATGTTAAATCAGCAGATTTGATAAATATATTTTATTTGCAATCATGATAAGTTTTCAGACAATTCATGCTTAGAGTAAAATAAAAATTCAAATCTTTTTAACCCCTTGCCATATAATTATGAATAAAACTTAAAGTACTGATATGTAAGCATGGAAAACACAAAATGAAAAATGCAATACAAATTGCAGTCAAACACAGAAAAAGCAAACAGATTTGCGATTATGGACTGCAGACCAAACGTAAAAATTGTGAAAGAGATGAATGAATTATTTATATAACATACGAATAATTAATCAAGCTTGTAGAAAGGACTGTAGGTCATACGAATTCCATATCTGATAGAGATTATCTTCAAAAATAAGAGCAAGATATCTAGGTACTTCAGTTCGGTCTATACTAAATTAAATGCAGTCTTTTGAAGAGTTCCTCATTCTCTGCTGTGAATAAGCATGATTTTATTCTTTAGTTTGTGAAATTTTAATGTTTATTAATTTAAAAAAATGTTTTTAAAGGAAGATGAACACAGAAAATGACAGCCATCCCTCTGAAAACAAATATAATTAAAAGTACATTGATATATCACATAGCGAAACTTTTCATGACACTGATATTATCATCTTCAACTACTACAAAGACTTCAAATAGCTTCAAATTTTGTATAGGATTTTGAAAAGTATCATACTATGTAGAAATATTAATTTTTAAGCTATGAGTATTTTTCTGTGTGTTCACCATTTGGCAGGAATCTTTTTAGATACAATTAAATATTTTCAATATGCCATTTACTTTTTGTCAAAGTAACTGCTACAGTGTGCCAAACAAAAATATTAATAAACAATTTAAAGTGCTCATTTCTTATTATTTATTTTAATATATTATAAAGATTATGCATAGTCATAAAAATAAATATATACTCATAAATAGTATAATTTGTTTTTAAACTTGCAACAGTATTTTATTAAGTACCACTGACTTCGCCATGACAGTATCGACTATCTGGAATAGAACTGAATATATGCCCTACTTCGTGCTCAGCAATAAGACACCTTCTTGTTACAGTTTCCCATTTATAGCTCATATGGTGCCAAACTAAACTGTACAGCAAGAGGTTAATGTTAATTTTAAAATGGCAAAAAAATATTTTATTGTAACAATACCTGTTCCATCAATAATGTCACAAGGATAATGCCTCCCCTTCAGTAAACTGAAAAGAAAAACAAAATTATAAAATCTTCAGAGGCTATACAGGGTGATACAGAATTCATCAATATTTGGTGGGGAGGTACGGAATAGGAAAAGAAGGAGATATCACATAGGAATGCATGGTCACATATGCCATGTAGTAGGGCAAAATGACCCCAGTTCAATGATGGAAAGTACACATAAAAAGTTAGTAGTAAGGGGAAAAACATTTATCATCCTACATGTAACATTTCTTTGCATCGGTTTTACAGACTTACAAGAGGTGCTTGAACTGCTGATTATGTGTTAGAATGCATGACTCACAACGGCGTTGCATGGTCAACCCGACCTTCTGGAATATGCCTGGCATTTACATGCATATCTGCAAATTCATTCCACGTATACCAGTTCATGTCACTTCTGCAAAGTCACCTAGTCGAATGATGACTGGCTGCACACATAAAACAGCTGTGCTTACGTATGGAAGTTGTCTACACCACCATGTGTTTGTCTGCGCCCATACTTTCCTATGTGAAATCTCCTTCTTTTTTTATTTCCTACCTCCCCACCAAATATTGATGATGAATTCTGAATCACCCTGTATAAGTGATACAATGTCTCAGATCTTATGAGGTCAAATGGTTTCTCAACCACTGTATTATTCAAATATCACCTAAGTTAAAGACCCATTTGTAAAACTGCACATAACCTAAAATTTCACATATATTTTATATCCAGCTTAGGTTATTATTATATTATATAGTACGAAATACTACACAAATGCTATGCAAAAACACTACAACTGTTCTTATAATGGATTGTTTACTGTGAAAAAGAAAAATCACTGTCTAGTATATACACATTGTTGACAGAAACAACCACCCTAATTCTTCAAAGCCTAACAACCACCCTAATTCTTCAAAGCCTACGGTACTCTGAACATCAATATTTTTCCTGTTTAAAGCTATTAAATACTTACAGGGGTTGGACAAAAATATGGAAACACCTTTAAAAAAATATGTTTCTTTGCTTAATATGGTGTAGGAAACCCGTTGGCATCCAAAACAGCTTGCAGTCTTCTCGGAATGGATAAATACAGTTCCTGTATGTTTGCCAAGGGAATATTATACCATTCTTTCTGCAAAACGGTGGCAAGTTCAGATAACAATGTTGGCGGTGGATAACGAGAACGCACTTTCCGTTCCAATGTAGACCACAAAGGTTCGATAATATTCAGGTCTGGTGATTGTAGTGGCCAGGGAAGATGGGACAACTCATCCTCGTGCTCAGAAAACCAATCCTGGACAATGTGAGCTGTGTGAACAGGGGCTTTGTCGTCTTGGAAGCCACCATCACCATCGGGGAACAAAGTTTGTACCATGGGATGAACTTGATCGGCCAAAATGTTCACATAAGTCTTGGCAGTCATGTGCCCTGACATAGTTATCATGGGACTAGCAGAGAACCACGATATGGCTGCCCAAACCATAACAGAACCCCCGCCATGTTTCACTCTTGGTAACAACAGTCTGTATTATAGGCTTGAGATGGCGTCCTCCAGACGTAAACTCGGCCAGAAGTGGGAAACAATGTGAAAGAAGACTCGTCAGACCATATTACTCGCTTCCACTGCTCTATAGTCCAGGCTTTATGACTTAAACACCACCTTTTCCTGTTACGGGCATTAGCATCACTGATGAGTGGCTTCTCAATTGCAGCACAGCCAGCAATTCCCTGTTTATGAAGCTCCCTTCTAATTGTTTTGGTACTCACAGGGTTCAGTACACAACATTCATTTCAGCAGTAACTTTTGCAGCTGTGGTCTTCTTATTTTTCGTCACAATTGCCCTTAATGATTGTCTGTCACGATCACTCAGGACACACTTTCGTCTGCGCTGTGATTTAGCAGATGATGTTTTTCCGCTTTTCAAATATGCGGAATAAATCTTCGATACAGTACCTCTTGAAACACTAAACACTTCGGCTACCTTGCTTACGGAAGCACCTACCATACATGCTCCAACAATTTGCCCACGTTCGAAGTCTGTTAACTCTGACATAATGCAATGACAACCTCACATAACAGTACTCCCGACAACAACTGAACTGTTTAGCACATTTACGAAGTTGTATAGGTGGCGTCAGTAGTCAAAAACGCCAGCACCACCTACATATTTCATTAAAATCAATCTTTCTTTTCAAACATGCATTTCACAAGGTGTTTCCATATTTTTGTCCATCCACTGTAGTAATGAAGAGGTAACGAAATGTGGTTTTTGATGTGCATAAATGACAATTTGGTTAATCTTTTACGAGATGGATTCACAAATTAAAAGTATATTTTAGGCGAGGTCCCGGGTATCACCCAAGACCGCAATGAGCGTTCGAAAAATCAGTGCTCAATGTGTCCTGCTCTTTTTTACGTTCAGAGAATGTTCGAGCTGCGAGCAACTCGAATCCACCATTTCATAGCGCACACCTTGGAAATGCGCTGGGAGCCGTTGTCTAGGCGGCTCCCTCTAGTATATTATTGATTTATACAGAATAGTGTACCTGGTTCCTATTCATTTAAAATTGCCCTATGAAAAGATATGGGATCACTGTAACACATATATGAGAGGTATAAAGTAAGTACAGTGACATTTTCAATAAACAAATTTAATAATCCATTTCCAATAACAAGATTTCAATACTCAAAAGAAATTTTTAAAAAAATAATTGAAAACTGTTCTGCTGTGATACAAGTGAAATTAACTTCAGAAAATAAATGACTAGAAGTAAATTGAAATATTACACATAAAAAAAAAAAGAAGAAGAAAGAATAAAATAAAACAAAAAACGAAGAAGGTAGAATCGTTATAATTTGCCAATATAAACACTTCCAATGTTTACTTTGAATAACAAAAAATTTTGATGTATATAATACATCTCTTGTAGTATAGCTTATTAAATTATACAATTTTATGCTGCATTTCATTCAGACTTATTTCCTCGAATTATTCTAGTATAATTAACCAATCTCTCAAGCTTAAATTACATAGACAAGTTGAAAATCATCAAAAATGAACCATTAAAAGTCATATTTCATTATTTTACAAAAAAAAAAAAAAAATTCCTTTCTTTTAAATATATATATATATCTTACCAAAACATGAATATTTTCATCTTTTAAAATGTTTCTGTAGTTGGAAGCATAACAACCAATGACTGCGAAAATAAAGGCTGGGTAATGAATGGAGTTTGGTTTGGTTTTAATTAATTATATTGCAAAGCACACTAGGGCTATCAGCCTAAAGGAAGGAATGCTTTCATGGAGGATTTCCTCAGGAAAACTGGCTCGTATGCACATTACATATGGGAAAGAGAATGAACTGCCAGAAATTTTGTGCTTTTTACAATAAATTTATTACAAGGATCACAAATATGATTTCTTTTTGTACTATTCATCTTGAATTACCTATATGTTTTCAAATTATGTCAAGAATGTAAACATAAGGATTCAAGTATTTACTTATGTTACAGTTTACCTATGCTAAAGTTGTCCATAAATAATAAATACAGATTTAAACAAGGTGAAGGATATCAAGTATAATTAAGTATCTAACAATTTCCTAATGCTACATACTAGCTGAAGAATGAAATGTTCTGATGTTTATACAGAATACATGTTTTCCCCACCCCATTTACTCTTGTATAGCTTTCATAATTTAGGTTATACTTTTCAGCGTAAGCGTGTTTGATGGTAGATCAGCTAGAACTGGGTTACAGATTAGAAGGTTTCAGATTCCAGATTTGATCACAACACCAGATTTGATAACAGTGCCATCAAATTTTGTCTATTCTAATTCTCTATTCTATTATCATCAGCAAAGGTGAGCAAGTTGAAAACTTGCAATTCTGATAAAAGCTTTTTTCCCTCTCCTCTCATGTTTTTGGTGGTTGTGTGCTTAATGCATGATATAATTAAAGAAAATAAGAGTAGACAATCTCCTATAACAAAAGAATATATTAAGTACTAAATTACAATTCAAATTACATTGCAGAGATCAACGCAGAGCTCGGAACACAGTTCATGCTAGCGTCGCGTACACTTGTCCGACGAGAAGTCTGAGTGAGTAATGACGTCACTTTGCTGCTCCGATTAAGAACTGGATTTTACACGTGGCGCCATCTCATGAATAGAAGTTGAAGTATCTGTCGGAACGCCACATGTTGTTACTGGTTTATTACAATGGTCTTCTTTGCAAATTTTTACATTGGCAATATTCCTCTAACATATATGATTCCAATGCTTGTTTTTCAATGCTCTGATCAATTTACACAGGAAAAAAAGCAGGTATTGCCATTTGAAATTTTCAAATTTTTTCCACTGTAACCGTAACCATGAAAGCTCTAGTGTCTTAAATCATCACAAGCTCGATAGAGTACCTTCAAAAAACAATATCTAAAATTCCATTTCAATTGGTTCAGCTACCCGGAGTTCATACATCAGGGAAGTTATGTGCATATGCAATATTCATTTGTGGCATGTTAAAATTTCTTAATCTAACTAGTTTAGTTAGGACTTATAGATTGCTATTCTTACTTATAGACTTATAGATTGCTAGTTTAGTTAGGACTATACACATAGATAAACTGATACTTTTTATACTCTTGTTAATACATGACAAAAATTAGAGAAATGTAGCACGAACTAATAAATTTTCTACTTTTTCAAAATATTAAGAATATACACTCACATCTTAAAATTAGCCATGTTAAATAAAATCAAATGTGACTTAATTTAGAAAGAACATTACAAATGAGTATTTACCTGTTGCCATTCCACTTATCAACATATCCATATTTTCCAACATTAGATTTGCCAGTAAATATTGTATAAACACCATCATGACTATTATTTTTCTGAAAATTCAATAACATTTGTAAAACACATATGTCTCTCATTCTTTAATTCAGACACTATCAAAGGAAACATTTATTTAATATAACTTATTATGAACTTCTTTCTAATGTATAACTGTCACTGCATACCATTTTGAATTTTACCATTAAATTTTAACTATGCATATTTAAATTGAATTTGTATTAAAATGTATTTGGGTACTTAATCTATGAAATGATTCAATACAGGAAATAAATCAAAGCAAAATTAATCTGTTATCTAATAATGCATTTAAGTTATACATTCTTACTAAAAGTAAACACTGGAATGTGAATTTTATTGACATTTAACATAACATATATGCAGAAATACATAATTTTTGCATTAAAAAATGAAAATTTAACAAAAATTAAAAGTCAAAAATAAAAACTTAGCATTTATTTGGAAGAGGAATAGAAAAGGGGAAAGAAAAAGAAATACAGATCACTGTTATTCAAATCTATTATAAACAAACTATTGCAAGAGCATTGGGAAAAGAAAATTGAAAGTTAACTCTCCTCCCAATGTAACTAATTACAATGCTATGCATATAAAAATATCACTCAGTATTCATGCTATTAATGGGATTATGAGGGCTTTGAATAACTGATTTTGTGAAGTTTGTAACAGAAAGTTTCGATTTAAAATCTGTAAATCATGGTGAGTATTTTAACACATTATGAGCGGGAGCGGGTATTTGTACCCGTTTCGTAGATCGCACACCACACAATATGTGTCAATTGACCACTGTACAAAGCTGTTTATGAAAACAACTGTATCCATTGACCAGCATGACCTTTCAAATGTCTTAAAAAATGGTATTTAAGAGGGGCTTTCCAATTACAAATCTGGGTTTACACCTTGTGGCTACAAACAGACAAAATAATCCACAAATATGTTTACAGGATTTATTTGTTGAGTTGGATTGCCTGTGTGGAGTCAAATCTATTCAAACTCATTTTTATTACTATCATCAACAACATTTAGTTTTCCTAGTCAACTTCAGATTTTTCATTTGTCAAAATACATTTGATTTTATCCTTAAAATAACCACCACTTTGGCCCTTAAGACAAGAATTTATATGATCTAACTGACTTCATAAGATAATCCATTCAACTCTCAGACACAGTCAGAGTAGAACGTCTGAATTTTTGCTCTTACTTTACCTTGTTACAGCGTGATTTTTTGTAGCTGAAATCTTACTGATTTTGAGATGGCAAACATCATGAAGGCGATGTTTGATTTCATCAATCATGACATCAAGGAATTGGAAAAGACTTCAAAAAAGGCTGAGCTTTCAAACTCAGACATAAAACGTTTTAATGACCTAATACAGCTTAAAGCAATCTTCTCCACCACCTTTCCGGACTTTGCTAATCATCCTCCAGCCGAAAACCAGCAGCAGACTGCCATGCCAAATCCTGTTCTAATCGTAAGTGGGAAACGACCGAGAACTCTGGAACCGGACACGTACAACAAGTACGCAATCCTGGAACAAGTTTCTGTTGATCCCGATCAGCCCTGCAATGAAGGAAACCATCGGAGCCTCTCTGGTCATAGAAAAAAATTAAAACGAAACCCAAATCTAAGCCAGCTCTACTCCCCAAGCCCAAACCGCAGGATGCAGCCCAAGATGTGCCTAAACCATTGGAAGAATCCCCTAACTGCCAGGCACAGATCCTGCTCGTCCAATTAGAAACCAGGATGCAGATCCCCAGCAGCCAATGGAAATGCAGGACCTTCAAAAGCCAATGCCGGTTTCCAGTATCCCCAGGAGAAATACGAAAACCCTCCGATTATGGTTCAGGACACTACCATCACATAGAAACAACTAAATAATCTCCTTGAAAAGGAAAAAATGGACTTTAAAGCAAAAGTGACTTCGAAATAAAAGTCTTCAATACTGATATGCATAGGCAGATCACCACCTTACTTGATAAAAAAGAAATAAAATATTACACGCATACGCTGGCAGATGAAAAATTGCTAAAGGTTGTTTGTTATCCATAACCACTGCTTCAACAGAGGTTGGTGAAGGCCTTGTAAACTTTGGATACACGATTAATAAGGTGTTCCAACTTACAAAAAGGCGAGGTACAGAAATTCAAAAAATGCCTCTATATCTCGTCATGCTGCCTAAAAGCGACAAAGCCAGAACCATTCAAGACCTGGAATACCTGATGAGACTTCGTGTCACAGTTGAGACCTACAGGGGCAGAAGAGGCCCCACTCAATGTTATCGTTGTCAAAACTTTCACCATGCTCAAGCACAGTGTCACCTCCCTCCGCGGTGTGTAAAGTGCGGACAGGGGCACGAATCCAAAACTTGCACTAAATCACCAGATGAGCCAGCCACCTGAGCGAAATCGCACAGCATCATTTCATGGATGTAGCCGCTTCCCCATGTCCCAGCAATATTCACAGGGGAAAATTTTGTATCCGGACAGAGTCGTCATGAATAGTGTTCAGCCACCCCAAAAGCAGGCAACGCACCTGAAATTGCCGAGCTCTCAGCAAAGCTAGAAGAGGCCAAATCATTGATAGCAACCCTTATGGCTGCTATCTCCATTCTGAAAAATACACCTACTCAGCTCAATGCTGCAGCTGCACAAAATTCAGTCATGCCTCCCCAAAAAATCATGACTAATTCTCTTCACAGTTTTTCTCTGCTCACCAATTCTCTGTGGAATGCACAGAACATCACACAAAAAATACCTGAATTTCAGGACTTTTTAATTCGCCATGAAGTGGATATTTGCCTTGTCACTGAGACACATGCTAATTCGAAACACAACATCAATATCGCAAATTACAACACTTATCGATGCGACAGAATTAGACACCGTGGTGGAGGTGTTGCAATTTACATGAAAAGAACTCTTTGCTCAGGATTATTATCTGCGGATAATACAAAAGCATTTGAAGTCATCTGTGTAAATGTTGTACTACCCAAAATCGGAAATACCAAAATTTGTGCACTTTATAACCCTCCGGATAACAGAATCTCAGCACCTAATCTGGACTTTTATCTACAAGACCCAGCTCCCACAATCATTGGAGGAGACTTTAATTCAAAACATGTGGACTGGGGCTGCAATCATAGCAACGCAAATGGTCATACCATCAGAGACTATGTTGAAAATAATCCCATCTTCCTATTCACCCCCGATGAGCCTACGTGCCGCCCAAATACTCTCCACAATCGACCTGATATTCTCAATTTTTATCCCTCAAATTTTAATATACCCCTTACAATAGAAGTAATTCAAGAGCTTTCCTCAGATCATGTCCCTGCAATGGCAAAGTTGGGATACAGCAAGCCAGAAGATATAAAGAAAAGGAAAATTGTGGATTGGAAATTACTTCATAACCTCGCAACTGCATCACCCGTAAGTCTGGAATTCTCTTAAAATCATAGTTGATATTGAGAACGCTGCAAAAATCTTTATGAACACTCTTCAAGATTTCCTAGCACAAGCAACTACTGAAAAGATCAATTCCTATCATTATGGTGCCCTCCCCATGCATACTTGTGATTTAATCAAGAACCGGAACAGAAATCGCAAACTCTACAATCATACCTACGATCCTACCTTAAAACCATTAATAGACTCACCAGAAAAATAAATTCTAGCACTCAGCAGCATCGAAAGGAATCTTGGAATTTAAAAATAGAAAACTTAAATCTTGAAAATGGCTCATTATGGAGTTACATCCATAAACAGAAAACAACCCAGTGATCAACACTTCTGTAATCAGAACTCAATCTGACATAGCCTACACCAATGAAGAAAAAGCTACAGCTTTCGCTGACCACCTGACTCAGCAATTCACACCCAACGACTTCCCAGCAGACCAAACCACCATTGCCGCCATTACTGACCACGTCACGAACTGGCTCAACGCGCCGTTGGAACATAACGCTATTAAACTCACTACCCCAGGTGAAGTTAAAATATTATCAAGCATTCAAATAATAGAAAAGCTCCTGGACCAGATCAAATTTCAAATAAACTCCTTAAGCAGCTCCCGCACGGTGTCATCTGCAAGTTAACATCCATTTACAACGCCTGCCTCACGAACTCTTATTTTCCGAATGTTTGGAAACACGCTTCGATCTTCCATTATTCCTAAACCCAAGAAACCATAACATAAATAGATAAATATAATGATAAACATAAATAGATAGATAACTAGCTACAGACCAATAAGTTTCTTGTCTATGCTGGGGAAAATGTTTGAGCGAATTATTTATAAGACTGCACAATCACCTCGACTTCATCCTGAAAGAACAACATGGGTTCAGGAAAGGACTTTCTACCACCCATCAACTGGATTCGTACTTCAGAATTCATAGGATCGGCTCTCAGAAATAAACTTAGTATTGCTTTCCTCATGCTAGACGTGGCCAAAGCTTTTGACCGCGTCTGGCATGAAGGCCTCATCTATAAGCTCATACAACTGCATATCCCGAGAGAACTCGTCCTCATCCTGAAGTCATTCCTCGAAAATCGTACCTTCTCAGTTAGACAAGGTGATTATTATACTAATCCATATCCTATCCTGGGAGGGGTCGCCCAGGGTAGCATTTTAGGACCTATTATCTATATATATTTATGTTCATGATTTTCCAACTTTCCAAGAAGATTACAACTTTCAACTGGCCTGCTACGCAGATGGCACCACATTTATACAAAAATCTAGGAAGCCTAACAATGCTATAGCACAACTATAAAATAAAATGCAACAAGTGGAAGAATGATGCAAAAAATGGAGAGTGAACATAAATGCAGACAAATCCCAAATTCTACTCATCCAGCGCTACAAGAAACTGGATAACATCTCCGCTACAGTGACTTTATTTGGAAAACCAATCTCATTCGTAACCCAAGCTAAATATCTCGCAACACCTTTAATCAAACTTTCACCTGGTCAACACACATAAACATTACCAGAGGAAAAATCTTCGGAATAATGAGCAAACTCTTTCACCTCCTAGCTGAATCCTCAGGTCTTAGCCTAAATAGGAAGAGAATTTACACAGCGATCGTAAGACCTATTTTTACGTATGCATTTCCAGTCTGGGCAAATGCCAAACTGAACAACATTATAAAGCTACAAATTATCCAAAACAAGTTTCTCAGGACTATCACAGGAACTTCGTATTACATCAGAAATAAAAACTTGCACCGCAATTTAAAAGTTGAATATGTAAAACCCTACATCAACAAGCTAAATGAAAATTTCTACAGAAAAGCTAATCAAAATTGCATAGCGGACATTTTTAAATATTTTAAAATACGAAATCACAGAAGATGACTATTACAATAGGCTTTTCACTGCTCACACAATCAATATGTTGGAATTAAACTCTTAATTAATTACCTTTCCAAATGCTCTGGATAAAATGAAGCATAAACTGCAGAAGATCCGAATTTACACCTTGGTTTACTTCAACTTCTCCCTGATTCAAGTACAACTGTGATGGCTCAGCGGTATCGTCTCACACTACGGACATGAAGATCAATTGTTCAAAACTCAGCTGTGCCAACATGAACATATTAAAGGAATTTAAATTTTCATCACCTGCAAACATTTTTACAGTTTTCCCTAAATTTATGATACATTAATTTCATTTTTTCGGCCACTCATATTTTTTTTATAAATTTTTAAAGATCTACTGAAACGTGTCATGGTTGCATCACTCCGGCCACCCCTGCTCTTCAATCATGTACATAGGCTGACAACGATTATGTGCATTTAACGCAGATACTTCAAATGCTAAACACGTTCAAGATGGCGGACTTCATAGAGATTTACAGCACCTCTCCCAGGACCGAAATATTCATTCGCTCCACAATCCTGCCCCTGATTCATCGATGAGACACACATAACCTCAACATTAGCCTTGCCTGAAAATCTCCGATTTCGACACCAGATGGCGTCACCTACTCAACCGCTTCTGGACTTTTATTTTCTACTCCCTCGCCAGTTGCAAAGGGCTTACTGAGGAAATTTTTATCTTTTCTGCCCTCCATGGGATTCACTCATGTACTTTCATCACCATGCCCATTGTGGACTTCTTTCAGGTTTACAGGGAAGTAATGCAGAAGCAGTAGAACCCTTGTATAACTACTTTTGTATCAAAGTAATATAATCCATAGTATGATCTTTCTAAATTCTGAATTAGTTTCATAATCTTTGCATAGAATTCAAAAACGAAAATCATTCAAATCCATTTTTTACACACATTCCTTAAGGAAACTACCCTACGGGTATCCAAATGATTAAGACTGCTGAATACTGGGAGTTCAACTCCAAGAGAACACGCTGACTGCAAAGATGAATTTTCATAGTTTTCTCCACGTACAATGTGAATACAAGCCTGTTTCTCTTAGAAGGTTCTCTTAAATATGTCACCAACAAGTTTCACTTTATGCACTCATTACTGGTAGTACAAAATATATTCTTAACAAGTTGAAACAGATAGTCTTGCAGCATCAAGATTATAACACCTTTTACTTGGGTAACCTTTTACTTAGGAGTAATCTATTTTACACTGCCTCAATGTGTCAACTACTGCTTGAGTGCATGAAAAAGAAATAACATCTAAATATTTCTCATTTGCTGAAAGACATATCTGCTCTGAATCAATCGTTTTTCAATAAAACTGCAAATACACGCTTTTCTTTTTTGTCAGATATTTTATGTCATTATACATTTTAATTTAGCACTTTTTACGTGTTCCTTCATTGCTCTCAAAACATGAATAAAGTGGCTTATACTTATATATCATAATATCTCTAGATGGAACTATACTTTAAACAGGTAAAGCATCTGACTAAATTATCACACATACCTGGGTGATCTAAATTATGCAGTGGAAGATTGCTTTTTAAAAACATATTTATATATATCTTCAATAAAGTCTTTTGCCATTTTGGCACATTTTTATTCTAGAAAATTTCTGATTGTAGCCTATTACTTAAACCTATACGACAGTGACGACAAACCTATGGCACGCACATAATAAATGACACACAAACCCATTTTGGGTGATGTACATCACGTATTTCCACAGCCAAATCAATAGAAACAAAAACTGCATAATATAAAAATATTTGCCTTTAATGCAGAATGCTTTATGTTTCCAGCTTGCTATACAGATCAATTTTTGGTTCAAAAATTTTCACCAATACACAGCCAAAAAGAGATCAAAGAATATGTGAAATTCTACCATTCTGGAAAATATGAAATATGAAAGATAATTTCTTAATTATTAGTAAGAATGCATTAATTTTCTCCATGGTATGAACAGCTCAAATGCAAAGGAGCAATAGCTTTTATACAGAATATCATTAACCTTAGCGAAGGGAGGTAAACTAAAAAAATCTGAAAGGTTTCAGATTTTAAATTACGTCCAAAGGGGGTTTTTTTTAACGTTTTCTGTGTTACCTTTATTTATTAAATATCATGTTCTTTGAACTTAAACCATAAAATTCAGTTCAAAAGCAATGTCGCAAAATAGTTTTAAAATAAGCCTATATTTAGAATTTCTGATACACAGTTCCGTGTGCTGGAGATAAAAAGGTTTTTTCCCCCCACAGAGTGTTGCCATTGCTCACTTTTAAATTATTGAGTTTGTTAATCAAAAATTCATTAAAGTTTTACAAAATATGAAATCGATAATAAAACAAATTCCAAATGTCAATATTTGCAGTAATATTACATCATTCAAAACTGGATGGTACCATCGTTTTATCACAATGCGAGAAGCATACATACATTTATGCAAATTCTTCATTATTTAATTTCTTCAAATATAATACAGGGCGATAGTATTTGGTGGCAACGATTAGAAAAGTGATACAACTTTTTAAAATTTTCAACGCAAAATCGCAAAACGAAAAAACAACAGTCCTTCAACAAAGCCCCTTTGGACTATAAACTTAAGAATGCAAAACTCTTATTCAGAAGACAGAGCATGGAAGGCATCTTAAGTACTGAAAAGAAACAGAACATAGTATTTCTGACAATTCATTTAAAGTACAGAAGACCCATTCAAGTTCATATGTTCAGTTGTCACATATATTGTATGATGTCCTAAGATATGCTTATTATGCATTCCGCTCTCAAAGAACTGGGTAATACAAATGTCTCACCATTTTTAGAACACAGATGAAGATTAAAATAAAAGAACAGTAATGAAAAGGCATTTCCCATTCCCATAATGTTGATTTTTATAAACTTAATATCCTAAACAAGGATGATTGTATGGGGTAATAATTTTTCAGTTAAAAATGCAGAAATTCTAAAAAGTTGCTAGTTGCACAAATTCTAGAAAAAAATTATGAAAAATTAATAATAATAATAATATAAATAAAACAAAAGCTTTTAGTTAAAGATATCCATAAAATTCATTACATTCAATATATTGTATATAGAGATTTGTATATGAATTCATATATGGCGATTCATCATATCAAACAATATTAAATGCATAGAAAATTAGATAAAACCAACATATTCATTCATTATATCCCGGAATTGATTATAAACTGGATTTGCTGCTACAGTGGGGTTTGACTGTGTTTTCATGATGGGCTTATAGAATTGAATTCCATTTTTAACTTCAATTTTATCTTCTACCTATTCTAAGAGATATTTCATAAAATCGAAACATGATACTTCATAAATGTCAAACTTACACCAAAGAACCATCCAAACTTCTCATAAGGAATCTCAATCCCCATATCTTTCACAGTCATGAATATGTCTTCCTCATATCCATCAAATAACAAACTTCGAACAGTCTTTTCTACAAAGACTGGGCTTTTTGTATGCTGCAAGACTTGGTTAATGGCACCCAAATAAAATGGGTCTCCAGACAGCAGGCCTTGATTTACAGCAGTCTGAAAAGAAATATTTGTATAGATAATATTATAGAAGAAGCATCAACGCATAATAAACTGTTTCAATAACAATTTTAATACGAAATATTAAAAAATGATTCCTCTGAAATGCCATTTTTTAACAGAAAAGAATTATTTGTTTATTAAGACCTGGCACTATTTTCTGATAACCTACACCCTCGGTTTCAATAGGTGGAAGATCTTAATTTTGGCATATTTTCAAGTAGGCGTATGATATCAGCCAACATGCAGGTATCACATATGTGTCTTGAGCATACAGGTATTTGCACACTTTTTTAGAGTTTAAAAAGTGCTTCTTATATGCTAATAAACTACCTAGACAAGATTTCTTTTTAACCAAAAACTCGTAAATAAATGCTATATCTCAAGAAATCTAATGTGATTATATTATACATAAGCCTACTCAGTCTTTTGCCATTACAATGACGATGCTTTCTAGTTGTAAGTAAAATAGAATTCATCAAGATATTCCATAAAGCTAATCATTATGAAGAATTATTTTCTAAATCTATATTATAATCTTCACATTAAGTACAGCCAAAAAAAAACTGCAGAGTTTGTGCAATTCTTTGCCTTGTTATTTTGGCTTTGTGTAGTGTCAATTTTTGTGCCATATGTAAACAAAATTTGAAATGAGCCATATAAATATTTTTCTGCTATCCAGATCAAAAGAAATTTTTCAATATGTTGTAATGTTCTCTTACCTTTGGTAATCAATTTCAGCCTCTTCACCATGTTAGCAGATTAAACAGTCTTTAGTTTTCACAAGCACAGAGACCCCACTGGTATACGCGATAACCAAGTCCTGGATATGCATGCCATCTTCATACTTTTTAAATATCTCTTCTTTTTTTTTTTACCTCCATGGCGATCCTAACAATTTTCTTCATTGCTTAATTCTTCTCATTAACTTTACTAAAACTCACTATTAATGAATTTAACAAATATTTATGTGAAAATCTTAAAAATCACTTGAAAATTCAGACTTATTGCATGGGTTGTTTACTGAATAAAATAGCAACAGACAGACTGATGCTCATGCATGATAACAGCATTGTCTTGAAAGAGTTGCGCAAATGTGACTCATTAAACACGTGTCATATTCCAAACAAATGTCAAACAGCGAACAAAAATATTCATGAGCAAACATAATGTATTTCAAAGTGGAAGTATACCGAGGTACCACTGTATGAGACTTTTATGTACATCAAGTAATTGCTCTCAAAAATGAATGAAAGTTTTAAAACATAAAGTTTATTGAACTTACCACTAATGGTACATTGACTGTTGTTACCAAATCATCTAATGAGCCGGTAGTTAAATTTGGCTCAAAAAACCATCTTTTTATTTGATAATAAGAAACAGTTCCATTATCATGCCACGTGATATTAATTTTTTCTCGTGTTTCTCTAGAGAAAAGAAAACAAAAGTTATTCTAACTAAAAACGAAAAGAAGCAATTTAAAGGATTTTAAGAACAAAAAAGAAAATTAAGTAATCATGTAGTATACATGTATCTATTGCTTTCTGTGTGTTATTTATTTTTTACATAGTGCCACTAAAATATTATAGATAATTAAGAATACGTAAATGAAAATTATTTTGTTAATTACTTTAATAACATAATGTTTGATTCCATTAAATTTTAATTCATTTTAATTCTTGAAGTTCACAAAACCAAAGCAAGGATGGCCCTTAAAAGGGCCTCTTTTACGAGTCATTCAACAATATACATTATGAATGTCACACAGCATGCCCAGAAAATAGTCATTACTTTTTATCAATTTGGATCTTCATCATAATTTGTGAGATAAGGTGGAAGTGTTTATGGTGTAGTGGTACTGTGCATATCATTTAGAATCTTAAATAATCTTTTTTTAAGTAATCAAAATCCCCCAGCATGATTCAATTATTTGAGTGATCCTACCATCTGCAGGATGCTAGACTGACAAGCATTTTCTTAATCCTACAGATGGTACTAAAAGAAATTTTCAAAACAACTAATTTTTTATAGGTCTGTGTAAGAAATAAATAAGAAATTCATGAGGCAATATTTTAAATTTATATAACTTCTTGTTATTGGGAATACATAGCAGCTTGTAAGAATCCTCTTTTTAAAATTCAGCGAAATCTCTCAAGGCAATCACCTCTGGAAGTGAACAGTTTATTAATTACATTATCACCATTTTAATAATATTCCCAGCATTTTAATTTTGATATATTTCTGAATATAAGACAATCTGTACTTAAACTGAAGAGGTAAAATCTTGTCACAAGATTTCAGACAAAATTGAAAACTTGCAGATAAGATCAATTTAAAATTACCTCACGAATCTAGCTATTTAAACTCTTTCAACTTTTAAGCATATGCATTATTTGGCACTTTAGCAGGCAAAAATTATTCTATTTCTCAGCATTGGCAATAATTCTCAAACAATAAAAATATCTTTATTCCTCATTTGCATTCTCGCTTTTATGAGCACAATACAATTCTTCATTTTTGTTGTATAATGAAAGATGCTTGTATAAAAAGAGACTGCTTTTTCAGTTAACTTTTCATTAAAAGTTATTGATTTTGCTAAATAGTGCTGCGGAAGCATGCTGTGAAATGATGTTACGTATGTGAAGGATGACAACGCTGTTAATATCAAAATGAAAAAATCTGTCATTCATCCTGATTTCTCTCTAATAAATAGCAACTTCTGAGGATTGCTAGAAAATTCTGAGTCAAACAATATGAATTTGATTTATGAAATCTGGGTACTTCTTGATTATTTGGCCCCCTCTAAAAAGTATTCACAAAACAACAAGCTATGTTGCCAAAATGTATTTATGTGACAGCCCAGATATGCACATATGTGTAGCAGATGAGTGCCAGTTATTAATGTTTATTTTTGCTACAATGACAGCACTTTTGGTACTTTTCCGTTTTGCCGGCGCAAGCGATAAAGTCGCCAATAATGGTACAACCGATGCCAAACGGAATATTCTCGCTGGTAACCTTTTAAGCCTCATTTTCAAAACAAGTCGCAGCTTTTTCTTATCAGATTGATTGTTTCTTTCAATACTGGCATATCATTACATAGAATTTTTATCAAATAGTTCAGTTTTATGTCTAAGGCCATTTTCGGTAATTAAGTCAATTAGGATGCAATCACACAGCGCTTACCCGAAGCCAAAATATAGAAAAGGTAAGTCAAGGTTTAAATTCATCAATTCTAACGAGAATGAATTAGCGAAGTAAAGCACTGCAGTTTTAAATAATTTCTGAGTAAGCTATTCGTACGAATTGAAATATTTCTTGCATTTAAACTTGTGTTCTAAATTAAGATTTAACTTGAAATTAATGTAGATAATTACTGAGAGCATTAGATTTTTGTAGAGTAGTTTACGTGAGATGAGATCGCTTGGGGTCACGTGATATAAACCGGCGAATCAGGATGTTGAACCATGAAAGCGTAGTAAATTCTTAAATTAATGTCTTTTTACAAATTTATTGTCTTTATTTATTGGCTTTTTATAAAATTTTAAGCGATATTAAAATGTTTACGCCCTCAAAAAAAGAATTCTTAGAACTAACATTTTTTTAATATATTTTTTATGTGTGTACTGTATATTGTCGCCAATAAAGTCTGCTTGGCGAGATTTGCGCCGGCGAAACGGAAAAGTACCGCACTTTTTTCCTTTATAAGGAATTGCAATGGGACTACGGAGTTTTCCAGTTGATTAAAAAAGAAGGCATAGCATTTCTTCAAATATAATGTTTTGCCTAACAGTAAAAAATGCAAACATTTATATTTCATGAAATGCACTTACTGAAAGATAAAATTAATGGATCAAATTTGTGCACTGATGCTAAATCTGTGAATTTCTCTGATCTTTTTTAAGTGAAAACAGGTCACTGTGTACAACTATAACTGTGTGCACAATGACAAATTTGTGCAATTCTGTAACTTGTTTCCCATGAAAACAGATTGCTATGTACATGAGAAGAGAACATTAAAAAATAATAAATAAAAATAACTTTTCTATAATTTTTAAGTTTCTTGCATTTTTAATTTTGTTCATTGGTTGCTTTTCATATAATTCTTAGTGCATCACCATTTTTGAAAATGGCTGTTGTCTTCTGCATCTTAGCTTGCTGAAAAATTAGTCACCAACACTTGCCCATTTTTAACTATATCCAATCTCATAATACATAAGTACTTTTTTTTTAATGAGGTGCAGAAGCTGTGCTTTAAGGCATTTATTATCTTGCTTATTTTTCAGAATTAAAATATTCCTAAATCACCAGAATGGAAAGCAATGTCATTTTAAAATATAACAGAGGAAATAAAAATGCTTTATTTTAATGTTATTTCTTTAATACAGTTTTAATATAATATGATTATTTTAACGATATTTATTGTTGTTATAAAAATTACCAAAGTAAAAAATAATCAAAAAATTTGCAAAAGAAAATTTTGTAAACAAACTCATCTTAACATCACTACACTGTTAATAAGTCACCAAATTTAATGTCACACAACAAATTTATTCACTTCCCAACAGGAGAAAAGATGATTTCCCAACAGATTTGTTTTAGATGTAATATGCTATGAACTATTTAAAAAAAAAAAAAAAAAAAAAGAAGTAGGAAAGATTCAAAAGATAACCCCTCAAATACTTGTCAATGAATTGCCACAAAATATTCCTATAAAATGTCAATTCTCACTCAAACTGGCAGTTGTAAAAAAAAAAAAAAAAAGGCAGATGAGTAAAATTAAGGACATTTTACCAATTTTGGCAGAAATTAAGGAAGTTTAAAGACAGTACGAACCCTGTATATACGGTTCTTCTATTATAAGATCAATATCAATCTCCTAAGTTTTATATAGTTTTAATTTTCAAATTAACATACTTTTCTTGTTTCTATTATAAAGTTACATATTTAATATTTTATACATTTTATGCTAGGATTTGTATATATATATGCACAATGAAAAATACAAGTCAACAAATAACATATATTTTGCAACTTCTCCAATTATATACTCCTCATTTATATTTGATATCTAAATGACCTCTTCCGTGATATATGGTCGTCATTCCTATTCAACATCTAATTTGATTATTAATCTGTTTCAACAGCTTTAATAATGCAAAGAGAAGTTACAGTTTTAAAAAAGATATTTAAATAAACACAAAATTCTCACTATCTTCGTTATATCTTCGTTGGATAAATTTCATTATTTAAGGTACAAAATCAACCTGCATTAAATTTTATAAATGAAATATAACAATACATACCTAAATGTATATGGCCCAAGCTCTTGAAGATATGGCTTTGCATTATTTTGAACAACATCTTTGGCATTAGTCACATTAAAGAAATAAAATCTTGCATATATAGGTACAGGAATCACTCTCCAATACTCATATGGCTCAGCTTCAGGTGATAAAATTAAATTCTAAAAAATATTAAGTTTTGCTTTATTTATTTATTTTTACAATTAAATTTGTAATCACATTTATTTTCTAATCACATAACTAACAGATTTACAATATTTTAATAATTAAAACAGTATCATGAAAGTCCTGCAAACATTGACCTAATGTGGATTGATCCTCATTATTTCTCTTAGAGAGTTCTAATAAGGACTTGAGCTCTCAAATATGTCAAGTTTTATGGGGTAATACAGTCAAAAGTCATTAATTCGGACACCCTTAATCCGGAATGATCTACAATCCGGACCTCAAAGCTACAAACTTACTGCGCATGCATCGTGTTGACGCTTGCACATAAGACCTTTACAGCTGCGAATATGCGTGTGCGCATGCTCAAAATACGTTTACACATGCACGTTTAATGTATAACTGACGGTATAAGCTAAGCTAAAATTATCTAATTCAGTTAATGTTGCAGATTGCGTTGTTCCTTAATCTTCGAATTGGATCCAGCTTATTATTTTTTGCAGACTGTTAGAGCAATTTTATAAAAGTAAGCTTGAACTTTTTATTATGTCAAATAGAATTTCTGATATATATTTGCTAATATGTAAAGGATCTACAAAGCGAAAGTATGTTTCGATGTCCATCAAACAAAAAGTGGAATTGCTGCAAAAAATGGATAAAGACATGAAGAAGGTGACAGATAGGTTAGTGAAAACGAAAAAATTTCGATTGACAAGTTAGTCGGTATTCTCGGCACAGCAATTACGGAACTTGAACAGCGGAACTTTGTAACTGAACAAGAAATTATGTCTCTTTATAGAATTAAAGAGAAAGTATTATCACATAAAACGAAGCAACTTAAACAACTTACATTGAAAGAAATGTTTAATAAAGTAAACAAATAAAAATTAAGCTTTTTTTTTTTTTGTAAATTTTGATACCCTTTAAATCATAATTGTTCTTTATTTCATAAATTATGGTTTCATATTTTTAATTTTAGAATTTCTGCATGCCATCTTACGAGATTTAAACTAATGATCTATAATCCGGAATCGCCAAAGTAACGACTTTTGACTGTACCTATTATTGGCTTATTAACATCAGCTATTAAAAAAAGCCAATCAAACGCTCTTTTCAGTCCCACATCCAATTTTAGCAACTTCTGCCCAAAGTCTTAATTTTGGTTCCATTTGTAACAAAGAGTTCCAGCTTTGCAACAGCTCTTTTTTCTTTCGATAATGGTGGAATCACGGGAATTTCGGTGCCAGTACTGATTAAAAATTAGGTGGTGCTCTCCTAGTCCCGAATAAAAAGACGACACATCTCTACCCCTTGTCCCTCTGTGAGAATCAGGGATTTAGTTTTCTGCTGATGAACATTGGTTTTGTTAGGCCAACTGCAAGGATCACGGCATTTGAAAGCCTTATTGCCAAATCTTGAGCAATAATAACATAAACTTTCACTTCTGCTACTATGCCTATTAACAGAATTACTTCTAAAGTGGGATCTGGATTTTTGATGTCTGGAATAATGTTTTTTATTAAGTTCGCTAACTTATACCGATAACTTGAAATCTGCTCCTGTAATTTAACTAAAACATTGCCATCTGTAGAGCAAGCCAATTTGGTTAAATCATCACAACTGATGGATAAAATGCTCAAGTTCGTCATGGGTAATCTTTGAAGCCAGAGAGTTGTAAGAAAAGCTTCACCTACCTTACCTGATGCTAAATTCTTCATTTCGCAAAACAACTGTGAAGGTTTTTCTATCATCCAACTCCACCTCAATTCATAATTTTGGGGTCTTTTGCGTTTTAGTGAAGATGGAAATGCATAGCCAAGTACTTGTCATCCCTTGAGAGATTATCAGAATGTTTGACAGTTGTGATAATACTATCAAAAGTCGTTAATCCGGACTCGTCGGGACTTCGGCGATTCCGGTTTATCGATTTTTCTGGATTATAGATCATCAGTTTAAATCTGGTAAGATGGCATGCAGAAATTATAAAATTAAAAATATGAAACTGTAATTTATGAAATAAAGAACAGCTATGATCTAAAGGGTATCAAAATTTACAAAAAAAAAAAAGCTTAATATTTATTTGTTTACTTTATTAAATTACATTTCTTTCAACGTGCGCATGCGTAAAGCATACATTACGCATAGTCGAAATTAGAAAATTACAACCAGAAAACTATCTGATGTGTATTCGTGATATTTATAATGAATTTGATTTAAATCATATAAAAGACAGAGTACATCGAGATGAAATACTACATTTAGTAATGAACTATAAGCCGAATAAAATAAAAACATCTGCCCTGAAGATATGGATAGTGCTGACAGATCAACTTCCAGTTCATTGCGCGCCGCAACGTTCCCCTCCCCCGCAGAGCAGCGTGAAATTGATAAACAGATTTCGAAATGGTTAGAAAAACAAAGGATATGCCTTTATCCATTTTTTGCAACAATTCCACTTTTTGTTTAATGGACTTCGAAACATACTTTTGCTTTGTAGATCCTTTACATATTAGTAAATATATATCGGAAATTCTATTTGACATAATCGAAAGTTCAAGCTTACTTTTATAAAATTGCTCTAACAGTCAGCAAAAAATAATAAGCCGGATCCAATTCGAAGATTAAGGAACAACACAATCTGCAACATTAACTGAGTTAGTTAGATAATTTTAGCTTAGCTTATACCGTCCGTTATACATTAAACGCGCATGCGTATATTATGCGCATGCACACACGCATATTCGCAGCCGTAAAGGCCGTCAATGCGACGCATGCGCAGAAAGTTTGTAGCTTTGAGGTCCGGATTATGGGTGTCCGAATTAACAACTTTTGACTATATTTCAGCATCAATGGAACTCGCAACATAATCGTGTTTCGTTTGATCGGTCGTAATTGCATCATTTCAAAATTGAGTTTCCAAATGGGAAAACCATATCTTTGGGTCATGTTTCCAAAACGCTGGAATTTTAATGCTAACTCTAGCGATCAATGTTGAAGTGTTGCATTTGTTTCTACCTTTGTTTGCCATTTTTTCTTTTTAATTAAGAAAGCCACATTCGGAGAGTATTTTTACTTTAACACAAACAAAATAGCTGTAACATGAATATTATATCTCATTTCTTTTTTTTAAGAACCAGTACAAACTTATAAAAATTACAGGGAATTAATCAGAATGAAGAAATTAACACACTGGTCATTAGATTAGATTTAAAATGTGTCACACGTACTCCGAGCATCTGTCTATGACTCAAATTGTTTGACATAGTGAGTTAGATATTGTTCTTTAAACAATGCCAGAAGAAGATTATTATCTAAGTTTGAAATAATTACAGTCAAAAGTCGTTAATTCAGACACCCATAATCCGGAATGATCTATAATCCGGACCTCAAAGCTACAACCTTTCTGCGCATGCGTCGCGCTGACGTAAGACCTTTACCGCTGCGAATTTGCGTGTGCACGTGCGCAAAATACGTTTATGAATGCGCATTTAATGTATAATGGACGGGATAAGCTAAGCTAAAATTATCTAATTATCTATTTCAGTTAATGTTGCAGATTGCGTTGTTCCTTAATCTTCGAACTGGATCCGGATTATTATTTTTTGCAGACTGTTAGAGCAATTTTATAAAAGTAAGCTTGAACTTTCAATTATGTCAAATAGAATTTTCGATATATATTTACTAATATGTAAAGGATATACAAAGCGAAAGTATCTTTCGGAGCCCATTACACAAAAAGTGGAATTGCTGCAAAAAATGGATAAAGGCATATATTTTGTTTATCTAAACTTTAACGCTTGTTTATCTAAACTTTGTTTATCTTTAACGCGGCAGCGTGCAATGAATTCACTATCCTTATCTTAAGGGCAGATGTTTTCATTTTATTTGGCTTATAATTCCTTACTCAATGTAGTATTTCATCTCGATGTACTCATCTTTGATATGATTTAAATCAAATGCCTCGTCATTATAATTCGCTTCCGATAGCGAAGAAAGTGACAGAGGTTATTGAAAACGAAAAAATTTCGATTGACAAATTAGTCAGTATTCTCGACACAGCAATTATAGGACTTGAACAAGCGGAACTTTGTAACTGAACAAGAAATTATGTCTGTTTATAGAATTAAAGAGAATGTATATATTATCACATAAAAAACGAATCAACTTAAACAACTTACTTTGAAAGAAATGTTTAATAAAGTAAACAAATAAATATTAAGCTTTTTTTTGTAAATTTTGATACCCTTTAGATCATAATTGTTCTTTATTTCGTAAATTACGGTTTTATATTTTTAATTTTATAATTTCTGCATGCCATTTTACCAGATTTAAACTGATGATCTATAATCCAGAAAAATCGATAATCCGGAATCGCCGAAGTCCCGACGAGTCCGGATTAACGACTTTTGACTGTACTATAACTTTGAAAATGTTCATATAATTTACTTAATTTCTCATATCTCCAAATATTTAACACTTCTTTAACTCACTTAACTCTTGCCTTCGTTTTTCATTTTCAATTCTTGATTAACACGTACAGTACTCACCAGTGAAGTGCATTGCATAAAATCTAAAGTATTATTATTATACACTATAAAGAACGAACTTCTTTAAACAATTTTACTAACAAGAAGAGAGGATTGGACCAAATATTAAGTGACCTTTTTAAAACAAAATTGCAATGAATGTTTATCTTTCGAACAGTCTTCTTGTGAGCCATTTTACAAAAATTAAAATGTACAGAAATTAAAGATAAGATGAAGAGGAAACATAGAGGACGCTACATTGATAACAGAAGAGTACCAATTTTTTTTTTCAACAAATCCACTTTTCACAATTTTCGTCTCTTCTCTGGTTTTTTGAAACATTTCCTGAATAACTTTCTCGGTGAGTGAATGAGGCTCATATACCTCATTTGGTTTGAAAATTCCGATATGCACTGATTATGTTTCCCCCATCCATTTTTTTAGTTCGTCTATCATGTCACATCTTCCTTCCGTGGCTAAAACAAGAGATGAAAAAAGTTCATGCATGTGTGTCGTCTCTGGTGCTCCATTTGATCTTGATTCACTGATTGATATATTAAAGTCATTTGAATTAGTTACTTAGTAACTCTTAGCAGATGAAAATGGAATCCAGTACTACCAACAAGCTATGCTTGCCAAAAATAGTGAGCACAAAAAATAAATCTACATACATGGTATTTTTTTTATATCTCAAAAACATTATTTCAACAACTTTTAATGCAGATAGATTAGATAAAATTGGAAAAAAGCCTCAGAGTCACCAAGACTGCATTGAGGGTTAAGATTCTGACATATTACTCAATTCATAAATATATGTTTTATTTTCCAAAATCATTATTAGCGCCAGACTGAATGATTAGTTATGGAACCCCCCTCATACACACACAGTCCTATTCTTACTGATATTTACATTACATGCATCATGATTAGCACTTCAAATTATTTGCCACATTGGTTCTGCTTTGATGATACTTTTATAGTATTTGATAGTAAAAAGATATAACTAAGTTCTCTCTGTCATGAATTCATGAATATCTTGTCTCGGTCATCTTGTTATTCCGTTAACTTTTGAACTTGAGACATCTAATTCCCTTTGCTCCCTCAGTCCTAATCATACACAGTGAACCTAAGAAGAATGAAAAATCTTTCATTTTTCTTCAATACCAAAAATCTGGTCATAAATCCATAGTGCCTTTCAAATGTCAACGTGGATGATTCAGATAATTTTTGGCGACATCTAAGAGCAATAGGTTTCTTCTTTTATTATTTAAGCAGACTACCATAATTTTATAACTGCTGCTAACCAAAAGTTGTTAAACGTGTACCTTGCACTGTATTGTTTTACTAATGCAAGATCACAGTAATTGTAATTTTGGCAATTTTCTGTAATCTTTTAGTAATCTTTTTCAACCTACAAACTAAGTCATACACTGTAAACATGTTTTGACCTAGACATAGGCACATACAATATTTGGACAAAGAAAATTTGGTACTCTTCTGTTATCGGGACCAGATTCAGAAATGTATGTACACATATATATGCATAGGTAACACTTGTGCATGCATGCATACATATGTTTCTGAATCCGGCCTTAATAACAGAAGAGTACTGAAAATTTTGATCTAGCAATTGCTAATTGATGAAAAATCAGCCATTTAATTCATAACAGGGGGGGAAAACTGTCAGAAATGAAAGTCTCTGTTCAAATAACAGCAATTACATTTTCAAATAGGTATGTACCTTGAATGTATGGTTAGAGTTGCAATTATTATTTCAAGCTAAATGTTGTGCCACATTAACATGACAACAACTGCTGCCTCTTCATTGAAAAATACTGAATTTTTAAAATTTCACTAAGCTTAGAATTAAAATAAAAAAAGACTTTTTGTTATACAAAATTGGTACATACTAAATAAATTTATGATTTCTTGCAAGTAATAGTAAATAAATGAATCTTGAATGAAAAAAATCATGTCATGGATCAAGTAATATTTTGTGCAAGATGAGGAGAGGAAAACTCAAACTAGAATACTCCAGAGTTTTAAAACAAATTTAATGTATATAGAAGTTTAAAAAAAATGTAAAAAATAATTTTCTATATGCCTTTTACCAGTACTTAGTTTTTTTTTTTTTTTTTTTGTTTTTTTTTGTTTTTTTTCTGTAATATTTATTTCTTTGTAAGATACCCAAAAAGACATCAACAGCTTTAATGTGCTTTTTTTTACTTTAATTCATTATTTATGCTTCCTTCTTTTAGTCTGATTATTATTTGTGACCACATATTCTATACCAATTCTCAAATCTACAAAATTCTAAAACTGACACAACCTCAGCTCATAAGCTGCACGGATTTTTATTCTTCTAAAGTATTACTGTGTACCCTAAACCTTCAACAGTTTGCCTTATTTAGTAATATATTTATTTACTGTAGTAAAATTTTTCACTCACGTAGCAAAAGCAACATTGTTCTTTTGTTAAATTTGCAATGCGTGTGTGTTCCATGTACGAGACAGTTCACTTAAAAAAGAAACATAAAATGATTCATGATAAATTTCAATACATAAACTCAGATTTTAAAATGTACACGCAACCTCGACATCTTACCTCCTCAACTTGCCACTGCAATATACGCGGGAACAAAAGGTAAGAACACAGTCCACTCAGTGCAAGCAGCAATCCCACAGTAGCAAGGAGAACTGTTTTGGTTACAGCTGATAAACCCATGAGTACATTTGCTAAGAACATCAGGCTAAAATAATAATTTTCTCTTCACAATATCAAAATTCCGATTTCCTTGAGGAAACACTCAGCAGCATGCGTGATAACACTACAAAACTCATTTAATGATTACGAGCACATGGATAAAGCTCATCTCTCACTTAATCACACACTTTGCCCAGTTTATCGAAGGTCGCCATAAAATTTCAGATGCTTTTCTCTGTTGATATGCTCTTTGCGCATGCGCTTAGAAGGCGTTAAAATTAAAGGAATACCCAATCGCGCGAAGAGGGGGAAAAACAAGATACCGATAGATTTACTCACTCTCTTTGGCGCGTTGACAATAAAACTCGTGGCAACTTTAAGAGCTCGACGAATTAATCATTTTAATTTACTTAATTCTGTTTTGAACTATCACGTTGAAATTTCAGTATATTGTTCATCTGTTCCTTAATCATGCATAAATTACCTTTAAAAGGATATAAATTCTATAACACGATGTTAATTGTAACATGATAACTCAGGTCCGCTCTTCAGCTGCGTAGTTTTTGTTTCCGCCATTAAGTTGCTTATTTAATTACTGCAAAACTCTCAAGAGCATCTCTTCCCATGACCTCTGTAACATTTCCCGGAAATTAAATTTAGCCCCAGGATCCTTAGAATGATAGCATAAGTTTGGAAAATTAACTATACTCACTACACATCCAAATAATTAACTAAACATGTCCAAAATTAGACGCGCCATGGAAGGATGTTAACAAAAATAAATAAATTTAAATTAAATAATATGTAAAGGAAAAAATAAAATAAATAAATAAACAAAAGCTGAAAGATTTTACATTACGCTCAAAGGGGGCGTTTTTTAACGTTTTGTGTGTTGCCTTTATTAAATATCATGTTCTTCGCACTTAAGCCATAAAATTCAGAACAGTAATATCGCAAAATAATTTTAAAATGAGCATACCTTTAAAATTTTCGATAAACAGTCTCGCGAGTAGGAGACTTTTTTTTTTTTTTTTTTTTTTTTTTTTTTTTTTTTTTTTTTTTCCCGTATGTGTTGCCATTGCTCGCTTTGAAATCGTTGAGTTTGTTAATCAAAAATTCGTTAAAGTGTTACAAAATATGAAATCGATAATAAAACAAATTCCAAATTTCAAATTTGGGCTTCCAGATGCCTATATTCGGGTGGAAACGTACGTTATTCAAAACTGGATGGCTCTAGGTGCCGTTGTTTTATCACTATATACGAGAAACGTACATACATTTATGCAGATTCTTCATTATTCAATTTCTTTAAATATAATACAGGGCTCTGGCATTTGCTGGCAACAATCTGAAAAGTGAATGAACGTTTATAGTGAATCAACGCAAAATGCAAAAACGAAATTAATAGTTCTTCTGGTGAAATTGCCTCTTTGAATTAAAAATTAAGTTAAATTAATGATAAATAGTTGAATAATAAATTTAAATACATGAACTCATCTGATCTAGGGCTGTGGCTGGTATTATGGTTTCACTCAAAATCTGAGAAGTACAAAAGCTGGCCTCCGGTGGTTTCCATCTGAATTTAAGACCCTGTGTATAAGTTTATATATTTAAACATATCAGGCCACTATACTTCTAGTTTACAATAAAGTGCATGCGTGTGCGTGTGTATATGGGGGGGGGGGGATAATCAATAAATTAAGTATTATTAAATTATCAGTTTTTTCAAGAAAGAAAAAGGTAAAAAACGGTTTAAAAATAACCAAATATTAAAATTCAGTGGAGAGAGTAAGGGAAAAAAGTTTTTTAAAATGAAATGATCTACTGAATAAAATTTTAATATTTTCCATCAAAACCTATTTTACTTTGATTTTTCTGTTTTGGTAGAAACACTCTGTAAAGTATAGCATTGTTCATCTATATTCAACCAGTGTAATATTAATTTCCTTTTAGTTTTGCTTTGAGTGGCAACAGCTGTAAAACATTATTATTTTGTTAGAATAAACTTGTTTGGTTGTGTTTAAATTTTTCAGAGATTATTTAGGTAGAAATGAGTTGATGAATGGACAAAATGGAATGGATACATTTACTGGCGTTGTTAACATACTATAACTTTCTTTAAAATAATGGATTATTAAAAAAAAATTAGATCTCAAAAAATGCTTTTTGCACTATGATAAAAATTGAAGCAATTGCTTTTAATGGGCAACTTTTGCATTAAAGTGATTCCATTGAATCATAGAAGATTTGAACACTTTGCACGAATAATTGCAATTATTGCTGAAAAAGCAAGCTTAGTCAAACACTACTTGTGGAAGTGAAAAGAAGCTTCAGCCTCTCCCTCGTCTGGCCATATAAGTACGCTATGCGACAAGGAGGTTTTTTTCCCATTAGAAACATCACTTCGGGAAAAGGCCAAAATATTAATTCAAACAACTTTTCGGGTAACCATTGTTTAACACGGCAAATCTTCAATATAACGATTTTTCCTTTTGCATACTAACCACATTCAGAAAAGCTTCTAAAATTTAAGATTACCGCCACAGGCCGAGCGGTAAAGTTGCTGAACACTGGTAGTTCGATTTCACCTGAACGGGCTGACTGCATGAGCGTTTTTCTGGTTTTCCCTTTGTGTAACCCAGATATTAGCCAGTTTCTCTTAAAAAGTCCTCCACTAAAGCAACCCTTCCCTTAGGCAGATAGCTCTTATGTGCTTTGCCATTATCGAATAAACCAAACCAAACATATATTGTAGAGACATTAGGTTATTTCAAAGCATGAGTGATGAAAAATAAGCAATGCTCTCGCCGGGCCTCGAACCACGGACCTCTCGAATACGCATCAAGTGTGCTGACCACTACACCACGAAGGCATACTAAGAAGGCGGGAGAAATAGCTTATAAAATATCTTGGGATTTACAAATGTAACTTTAATTGGAATAAAGAGAAATTCGTTTTATTTAAAATTTCTGTTTAATTTTATCTTAGCAAATTGGGGGGGGGGGAAACCTGTTTGTTTGTTAATTAAAGAAGATAACAGGCTCGGATTAAAACTCTAGATATAGGATATTGATGACATTTTTAATATGATAACACGAGAATATATTTCGTATTTCGGATATTACTACCCTTCATATATTACTGTTGGTGTTTTAGATATTAAATAAACAAATTTTTGAAAAAAATTTTTTAATTCTGAAACATTTCAGATTTTAAATTACGTCCAAAGGGACGTTTTTTTTTAAGGTTTTCTATGTTACCTTTATTTATTAAATATCATGTTCTTCGCACTGAGACCATAAAATTCAGTTTAAGAGCAGTATCGCAAAATAATTTTAAATTGATCATATCTTTAGAATTTCCGATACATAGCGTCATGCGCTGGAGATAAAAATGTTTTTTCTGCACAACGTTGTCATTGCTGGCTTTGAAATCCTTGAGTTTGTTACTAATCAAAAATTCGCTAAAGTTTACAAAATATTAAATCGATCATAAAACAAATTCCAAATTTCAAATCTCGGCTTCCAGATGCCCATATTCGCAGTGGGATTACGTCATTCAAAATTGGATGGCTCTAGGTACCGTTGTTTTATCACAATCCGAGAAACATACATACATTTATGCAGATTCTTCATTATTTAATTTCTTCAATTATAATACAGGGCGATAGTAGTGGGTGGCAACAGTTTGAAAAGTGAAACGGACATTCAGAGTGATTCGCAAACCGAAAACAATAGTCCCTTAGGGAGAAAGCCCCTTTGGACTAATAATGTGATAAAAATGGGATATCAGATATCTCACTTTATTTAAATTCTACTTTCAGTCACACTGAACATGGTACTAACACCCACAAAGACCGTTCTTGCAGCTAGTCCCACAGAACATTAGGACAGTTGTATAATTTAATTATCACAAAGTATATCAAAATCATCTGAATATGGGAAGGTACGTCTCCCCATATTCAGATTCAGACACTTTGTTACACCCCATATAAATTAATATTACGTACTGTTGCGTACGTTTTCGTAATAGATTGAATGCACCAGTCCGAGAAAAGATTAATAAAATTTATTCTTATCAAAAGAAATATAACAGAACTCTGGAATTTTCCTCACAGATATTCGTAAAAGTGTTCACAATAACACGTTATATAATCAGTAGTTATACTTCAGACTACTTAAAGTGTTAAAATAGAATGCGGTGCAAAGAGAAAACTGACCTTATCTCACGCTGATCTCGCAACAGTAACAACAGCAGCTAACTGAACAGCTGAGCTGAGATGATCTCCCTCTCTCTGGCTTTTTATAGCTTTCAACCAGTCGCCAAATATTTCCTAGTAATTTCTGATTCTCGAGATTTATGGATAGCAATAAGAGGATGCAATTACGGTTACAGATAACACAGTGGTCAATTACGTATATTCAACTTCAATACAAATTACCGAGATATCCATTTACTCAATGTTAAATGCACGTACCCCTGTATTCTTACTTTTTCCGGCATAGCTTTCTCTTAAAATTTGTCTCGCGCTACATTGCACCGGGAAATACAACTGTTTTAATTATAATTCTACTAAAATCTATATATATATAGAAGCGAAATACCACTGACTCATCACGAGATCTCCGAAACTATACACCCGATTGACTTGAAATTTTACATAGTTGCTCATTCCACGATGTAGACGCGCACTAAGAACGGATTTTAATTAAATCCTGCCCAAAATGTATTTTTGTTATACAATAGAAGTTTCTCATACATTTGGTTTTCATATCCAAGTGCAGAATTTTCTTTTATTGTTGCCAAAACTAGATATGAAATACAATGTTGCCAATGAATGAATTTTCCTTTAAAATTATTAAATTGGTAAATAACTTGTATCTAGCCAATGAATACAAATGGTAAGGTGTCTAATAACATTTATATTTAACTGTTATTATAAGTTTCATGAAAATAAATGTTATTATTAAGAGAAATAAATTATTGTGATGAAAAATAAAAATGTTGTTGTTATTTATAAAAATTGCCATACATTAAAAAATCAACGAAAAATAATTACACTGACTACCAATAAGTATTTGGACACCTGTGATAGAAAAGAAAAACTAACTTTATTCAAAATCAATAGTTGATAGAGCCTCCACAAGAGGTAATTATAGCGTGGACCCTCCGGGGCATACTTTCCACAAGTCTTTGTATGACAACTAGTGGTATTTTCT